CGAAAACGACGAGACGGAAATCGCCCCCTTTTCCGACGCGAACGCTGAGATACAGACGCGACGCGACGCCCCCGACGACGCAGACGACGCGTACGCGACGCCAGGGCTTGGGGGAGGGATGGACGCCGCCGGTGCCGGTGACGACGCGGGAGTTGAACCGACTGAAGAAGAACCGAAAAAGGCGCTCACGAACCGCGGCCTTCGCCGAGCGGCGGAACACGCCGAACGCGAAAAGAGAATTCTCGAGAGAGAGCGTCGCAAGCGCGGGCTCCCGGTGGACGCGAAACCCGGCGGGAAACACGTCGTCGCCGCCGGGCATCAGTTTGGCGCGTTCGAGAAGCACACGTCCGGGTTTGGGTCGAAGATGCTACGCGCGATGGGGTACCAAGGCGAAGGCACCGGCGTCGGGCCGGGGGGCACGGGCATCGCGGAGCCGATCGCCGCGGAGATGCGGAAAAAACGCGTGGGCCTCGGCGCGGAGAACACGAAGAAGAGTCGTACACGTAGTTGATGGTGTCTCAATAGTCTAGTCGTCGTCGGCCACGGTGAACTTCACGGATTTCGTGCTGAGCGACCGCGAGCTCGGGGTTCTTAACTCTCGTTGGCTGGGGGACGCGAGCCCCTGACTGAGCATCCGCGTCGCCTTCCTCCGCGCATTCGTTTCCCTCCATCGTTTCACGATGACGGACGCCGCGGAACTCTCCGCCATGAGCGGCCACATGTTAATCGGGAGGTAGTCTCTCCAGATTCCCTTGCGGATGAGCTTCATCACCTTCTCTTTCGCGACGAGCCGGGACTCATCGAGCAACTTCACATGTTTTCGGGTATACGATTTGGACTTGCTTATGTTGTTCAAATCGTTCTGAGTACGAAAATTCAAATCGTTCAGGTTGCCGTCGGAAGGACGCCGACTGGATCCCGGCGTGCTCTTGCCGCTTTTCCTCGGAGAGAACGTCTTATGGAACACCAAGGCGACGTTTCCGATGATGTTGCTCACGACGCCTTGCTCGTCGATCTCCTCTTGCTCATCGTCCGAGAACTTGTCCGAGTCCGAGTCGTCGTCGGGGACACTTTTTTTACCAGAGCGCGTCACCGGGACCTTTCTCGACGCGCGCATGATGACCTTCGTCCGTCGGTGATACGCCCAGGTTACGACGGGAAGCGGGAGGAGCAGATACCGCAATCTCTCGCCCCAGTCCCCGTCGTCTATCAACGTCGAGATGCCGATGGCGATGATGATTTGCGCCAACATCAGCGAGTTGAACGTGTACTGCACGAGCCACGGCCACGTGGTCTGTCCAAAGTTGTACGATTGCATGTAGTGATACCGCAGGTTGTGCTTGAAGAACAGGTAGAATAAGGAGAAGAACACCGCGCACACCGGGATCACGAGTGGCTGCACCATGCAGTACATCGTCCCGAGGAAAAAGACAAACATTGTCTGGGCCGGGACGCGGTGCATCGGCGTGTTCTCTGGCTGCGTCCACGTCTGAATCATCTTCAGCGCGGGGCGCGACTGCGATCGCACCTTGAATAGGAAGCTCTTCACGATGAAACCGAGGTGAAATGGCGGGTGAAGGAGCTCGAGCGGGCACGACTGCGCGATGCGAAGCATGCAAAACAGCAAAAAGAACGTCTGCTGGCTGACAATTTGCACCATTAATGCGTTCACCATCGTCGCCGGTCGGTTCAACCACACCCGCAGGTCTTCGTACAGCACGCTGCTCCCGCTGACGTTCGTGAGGAATAAGTTACAGAACAAGAGCCAGAAGTAGATGTCCGCGCCTCGGGAGTCCATCTTTGCTTTGCTCGTGTACCCGTACTGTTTAGACAAGACGAGGGACACAATATGCCCGACGACGAGAAAAATCGTGAGCACGAGCGCGATGAGGATGGAGTGCCCGGAGGTGCCGATGGCGGCGACGATGTCGTCGTATCCTAGACTGATGAGGTACGTGATGTAGTTTATAGGGATCATGAAGAACAGGATGACCACGGCCGCGATGGCGTGCGCGCGCATGTTTTTCCAAAAGCGCTGCTTCGAAGTGAGCGAGACATTGTGCCAGACGAGGTCGTTCGGGCCGGGCGCCGCGGACGTCTTCCATCGCCCGTACCAGTCGTCCAAGGCCATAGAGGACGCGATGACGGAGTCCATCTGGCGCGAGAAGACGACGATCGCGGACGGGGACGGGGACTCGTCGTTGAGGTAGTCTTGACGTCCCTGGTCGAAGGCGAGGAACTTGTCGCGGAGCTTGTTGCGAGTCTTCTCGCGTTGCACGTCGGACTTTTCGATTTTGATGACCAGATCGTTATGCGCTTTCTGTGTGCGCGCCAGCTCCTCCGCGCTCATCGTTTCAGACTCTTTCATCAGCTTTTGATCTAACTCGGATAAGTGCAGTTTCAAGTTGTTTTCCAACACCAGCTGCTGAAAGTGACGGATGTTCAGGTTGTTGTACGCCTCGGCGGCTTTGTCAAGTTTCCGCGTGTCTCGCGCAATCGTGATCGAAACGACCGCGTCCTCGCCTAAGATGAGCTCGAGCTTCTTCTTCACCGCCGTCGCAATCTCCTTTCGCGTGCACGCGCGCAGGGTGCTGTAGTCGTCCAAACCTTGGCGTGCTACGAACTCCTTGAGTTCGCTTTTGTGTCTCCTCATGAATTTTTTCGCCTCCTCAGCTTCGACTTCGTCCTTCGTCAGCCCCTTCCCCGCGCGCGGAGAACTCGGAGGCGATTGACTGTATCCATCATCGAGCATGCTACTCGCATGGTTGCGCGACGGTTCCGTGCGGATAGATGACCCTTCCGCGCGTAAGGACGCGCGCGGAAGCATTTTCGGAGTCGCTTCCGCGTCCTCGCCAGCTTCTTCGACTCGCTTCTTCGCTGTCGCCGCGCGGACGACTTGACCGAGCGGCGAGTCCACAACGTCCATGTCTTGGATGCTTTTCTCTCGTTTTACTACTTCCTTAGAGTCCGATAACTCGTCCTGAAGCGCTTTGTTTATCGCCATCATGAGACCGTTTCCTCCAGTGCCGCCCGGCGCGTCGTCTTCGTACGGATCCGTCGTGAGAACCGGGATGTCGGACACGAGCACCGCGTGCGCTTTAATCCCGGTCGTCTTCGGCGACGACTTCCATACCAACCGCGCGTACGCGCGAGTTTCTTTACCGAGCAAGTACACGAGCCACAACGACGCGAGCCATATCTCGACGACGACTATCAACAGTATGTTCCCGCGGTACGCCATCGTCAACGACAAACGCTTGATCCCGAGTTCGTGTAAACCCGCACCAGGGATGTTATCCTTCTCGACCTGGTAATCGCCCTCGAACTTGTACGCTATCATCAACGGCCACATCGCGAACAGAACGAGACCCCAGAACCAGGTGTACGCGAGCCGGAACCACCGCAGGAGCATGAGCTCGTCGGTGGTTATAAAATTGTACAGCTCCGTGTCCTTCACCCACCACGCTCTTCTCAGCCACCCGAACGTCCCTTTCAAGTGAAAGTCTGGGCGAGCATACGGCGGGTAATGCGGGTTGTTCTTCTCCATGTACAGGCACGGGTCGAACGAGAACCGAAGGTACCTTATCTTCCTCAGCGCGTTGAACAGCGCGAAGAGGACGACGAACAGGATGATGAGGTACATCGTGAGCCATCCCAACTCTTTAAACGACAGCCCCGCGTCCGTCAGTAAACGGCCGCTGATGCCGAGACAAAACAACCCGGTGCCGTCGAGCTCGAGGCCGTCGGACGTCCGCGAGAAGGACCCGGCGAGGTACGACAGGTGCTCGTACGAGTCGTTATCGCACGACAGACACACGAGCTCGGCGCTCGACGGGCACCCCGTGAGCGTGGTCGATCCGTCCGTCATGTACGACGACGCGCCGTTGATGTACACCTTGGGCGAGAAGTAATTCGACGAGTCGAAGTCGCCGATGAGGTCTGTCTGCGCGTTCTTCGTCCCTAACTTCGTGTCGTGCGTCGAGAACGTCTTCGCGGAGCGGTACGTGCACGCGCCGCACCCGCTCGGGCAGCTGCATTTCGTCCCCGCGCTATCGTACAGCGCGGCGGTGGAGTAGACTTCCGACATGTCCCCCCCGTCGTCGCGACGCCGACGCCGGGCGGGTCAACCTCGGGGTACGCGGCGCGGCGCGTCTGGCTAGGCGCGAAGCGTCGGGCGAGGCGCGAATCGTTCGCGTCGACGACGAGCGCGATAGAAAGATCGAACCGCGATCGAGCGCGAGCCCGCTTCCGATGCCTTCTTCCGATATTTTCGGAGCGCGGCGCGGCGCGGCGCGCGGGACACCGTCGAGCGACGCGCGCGGGCGAACGCGTGGGTTCGCCGAGCGCGCGCGAGATGTCCTGATGCGATGGCCGCGACGCGCGCTCGAGCTCGCGCGCGTCCCGCCGCCGGTGCTGCGGTTCCGCGCGCGAGGGGAATGACAGGTGATAAGTACAAGTGACCCGCACGCGCTCTACGTCACTTCCGCAGCCGCCCGTTGGTGATAGGATACCTGTAAGTTGTTACAGTAGCCCGATCTCGATCGCGCTCGAAGCGGCGGCGTAACGAATTCGACCCAGGCCGAGGTTTCAACGCGAACGCGCGCTGGTTTCATTTGACGCGATCAAACGCGTCGTCGATCGGCGCCGCCAACCGACTGATGAAAAGTCGGCGCGAAAAAATTATTCCTGAATTATTCGGGTCTTCGCGGGTGAATTCAATACTACTCTCGCCCGCGCGAGATCCGACGATCCGCCGCGGAGCGACGACGCGACCGATCCACGGCGCCTCGCTCGCTTCCGCCATGGCGCTCAACAAGCTCGCGCACTTGAGCTTAGTGAACAAGGTCACGACCGAGCTCGAGAACCACATCGGGATCGCGGACAAGACGCTGTCGGAGTTCGTGATCGACCTCGCGTCGAAGCACGCGGACGACGCGCGCGGGTTCCAAGCCGCGCTCGAGGACGTCGGCGCGGAGCTGAGCTTCGATCTCGTGACGAACTTGCTGAACATCATCCAGAGGATGAAAGGCGGCGGGGCGAAGAAGCCCGCCGTCGCGGACGGCGGCGGCGGAAGCGGCGGCCACGCGCGACCGCTGCGACCGACGAAGGAGAATCCCCTCCCCGGGCTCAGCGTCTTGGACGACGAAGAGCGCGCGAAGGCGCTCACGAGAGAGATCTACGGCGACAACCCGATCACGGCGAACATGGCGGACGACCCGCGGTTCTTGTCGCGCGCGCGGGAAGACGACCGGGACCGAGGAAGGGACCGAGGACGCGGCGGCGGGCGAGACGACGACGACGACCGCGGGGGAGGGCGTCGACGCGATCGCTCCCGCGACGGCGGCGGCGGACCTTCCTCCGCGGCGGCGCTGAAGCAAGGCGAGCCCGAGGTCGGGGCGATATACCGCGGCAGGGTCACGAACGTCATGGACTTTGGGTGCTTCGTCGAGCTCACGGAGTTCGAACGAAGGTTCGAAGGGTTAGTGCACGTCTCGTTGATGTCGTCCCTGAAGCAAATCAACGCGCGCGAGCAGGTGAGCAAAGACCAGAGAGTGTGGGTCAAAGTCACGACGCGGTCGTCCACGCGCATGGCGCTGTCCATGCGCGACGTGAACCAGGACACCGGCGACGACCTCATGGGCGTCCACGGGGACGCGTACGCGGTGAATCCGAGCGCGTCGAACCGACCGCCGCCGGCGCCCGGCGCGAGCTTACGCGGCCTCTCTGGGATCAACCTGACCGACGAGGATCGACTCGCGGACACGCGGCGACGACCGGTGAAGCGCTTATCCTCCCCGGAGCGGTGGGAAGCGAAGCAGCTGATCGCGTCCGGGGTCCTCCCCGTGGAGGAGTACCCGACGTACGACGCGGAGAACGATGGGCTGCTCGCGTACGAGGAGGAGGCGGAGCAGGAGGTGGAGATCGAGATCAACGAGGAGGAGGCGCCGTTCCTCGCGGGTCAGACCGCCGCGGAGGGGGACGTCAGCCCGATTAAGATCGTGAAGAACCCGGACGGGAGCTTACAGCGCGCGGCGATGACGCAGAGCGCGCTCGCGAAGGAACGCAGAGAGCTCAAGGAGCAGCAGCAGCGGACGATGCTGGATTCCGTCCCGAAAGATTTGAACCGGCCGTGGGAGGATCCGATGCCGGAGGCGGGAGAGAGGCACCTCGCGCAGGAGCTTCGCGGCGTCGGGCTCGCGGGGTATGAGATGCCGGAGTGGAAAGTCGAAGCGTTCGGGAAGGCGCCGACGTTTGGGCAGAAATCCGCGCTCCCGATGCAAGCGCAACGCGAGTCGCTTCCGATTTTTAAGCTCCGCGACGAGCTCATCCAGGCGGTGAACGATAACCAAGTCTTAGTCGTCATCGGCGAGACCGGGTCTGGTAAAACGACGCAGATGACGCAGTACCTCGCGGAGAGCGGGTACACCTCGAGAGGGAGGATCGGGTGCACGCAGCCGCGGCGAGTAGCGGCGATGTCTGTCGCGAAACGCGTCGCGGAAGAGTTTGGCTGCCGCCTCGGCGAGGAGGTCGGATACGCGATTCGATTCGAGGATTGCACGTCACCGGAGACGGTGATCAAGTACATGACTGACGGTATGCTTCTGAGAGAGACGCTCCTGGACGACATGCTCTCGCAGTACTGCCTCATCATGCTCGACGAAGCGCACGAGCGGACGATTCACACGGACGTTTTGTTTGGGCTGTTGAAGAAGTGCTGCGCGAAACGGAAAGACCTGAAGATCATCGTCACGTCCGCGACGCTCGACGCGGAGAAGTTCTCGTCGTACTTCTTCAACTGCCCCATCTTCACGATCCCCGGGCGGACGTTCCCGGTCGAGGTCCTGTACACGAAAGCGCCGGAGTCGGTACGTGTGGTTTCCCCCCTCGTCGTGACCTGACTTGACCGTCTTCCTTCGCGGCGTTTTGTTTTTTTCGCGGATGGCGATGAGGAAAAAAACTCTGCAAACTTCCCAAGGCTCTTCGGAGCCGTTGTGGACTCACAAGTTCATTAAAGTCTCCGATGCTGTCCACCCTGAACCCGAGATCAATCACTCTTCGTGCAATCTCCCGACGTGTACCTAACCGACGCCCGCCATCCCTCTCGACTCCCTCGCCAGGATTACATGGACGCCGCGCTCATCACCGTGATGCAGATACACCTCACGGAGCCGGAAGGGGACGTCCTTTTGTTCCTGACCGGCCAAGAAGAGATCGACACGTCGTGCCAGGTCCTGTTCGAGCGCATGAAAGGCCTCGGTCCGTCCGTCCCGGACCTGCACATCCTCCCCGTGTACTCGTCGCTGCCGTCCGAGATGCAGACGCGCATTTTCGACCCGGCGCCCCCCGGAAGCAGAAAAGTCATCGTCGCGACGAACATCGCGGAGGCGTCGCTGACGATCGACGGCATCTACTACGTCGTCGACCCGGGGTTCGCGAAGCAGAAGGTGTTCAACCCTAAGATTGGCATGGACTCTCTAGTCGTCGCGCCCATCTCGCAAGCGAGCGCGAGGCAGCGCGCCGGCCGCGCGGGAAGGACAGGACCTGGGAAGTGCTTCCGACTGTACACCGAGTCTGCGTACAAAAACGAGATGCTCGGAACGTCCGTGCCGGAAATCCAGCGCTCGAACCTCGGGACGACGACGCTGACGATGAAAGCGATGGGGATCAACGACCTCCTGAACTTTGATTTCATGGACCCGCCGCCGCCGCAGACGCTCGTGAGCGCGCTCGAACAGCTGTACAACCTCGGCGCGTTGGACGAGGAAGGGCTCCTCACGCGGCTCGGTCGGAAGATGGCGGAGTTCCCGCTGGAGCCGCCGATGAGCAAGATGCTCATCGCCGCGGTGGATTTAGGGTGCTCCGATGAGATCCTCACGATCGTCGCGATGCTGTCCGCGCAGAACATCTTCTACCGCCCGCGCGAGAAGCAGGCGGCGGCGGATCAGAAAAAGGCGAAATTTTTCCAACCCGAGGGCGACCACCTCTCGCTTCTCACCGTGTACGAGTCGTGGAAAGCGCAAAAGTTTTCCTCGCCGTGGTGCTTCGAGAATTTCCTCCAGGCGCGGTCGTTGCGACGCGGCCAGGACGTCCGGAAGCAGCTCTTGACGATCATGGATCGGTACAAGCTCGACGTCGTGTCCGCGGGGAGAAACTTCAACAAAATTCGCCGCGCGATTTGCAGCGGGTTTTTCTTCCACAGCGCGAAGAAGGACCCGCAGGAGGGGTACAAAACCGTGGTCGAGAACACGCCGACGTACATCCACCCCGCGTCGAGTCTGTTCCAACGGCAGCCGGACTGGATCGTGTACCACGAGCTCGTGTTGACGAGCAAAGAATACATGCGCGAGTGCTGCGTCATCGAGCCGCGGTGGCTCGCCGAGCTCGCGCCGCGTTTCTTCTCCCTGTGCGACCCGCGGAAAATCTCAAAGCGGAAACGCATGGAGCGTCTCGAGCCGCTGTACGATCGCTTCAACGACCCGCAGGCGTGGCGGTTATCGAAGCGTCGTGGATAAGAAGAGGCGTGATTGTTTTTAGGTGTGTGAAACCGCCTCCGGGCTGGTGTCAATAAAACTGTCTAGCTAGAAATCGATGAGATTCGGCGTGGTCGAAGGCGCGTACGAACCGCCACTCACAGGGCTCCCGCCGCCGCCGCCGCCGAACGTCCCTATCCCCCCCCCAACAGCGACCGGCGACCCGCTGTTGCTCCCGAGGATGTACTTCCCCGCCACGGACAGGAAGAAATCGCGCCCGCCTTCGATGTGCAAGATCAAAATCGCGTCGAGCGCCTCGCTCGGCTGATCCGGGAGCTCGAACATCGCGGCGAGCGGGTCCGCGGGCGCGGCGACGACCGGCGGCGGCGCGGACGGACACGGCGCGCCAAACTTCACGCCGCCGCCCGCGGTCGGCGTCGCGAGACCAGCGCCGACCGCGCGCGCGGCGGCGATGCGCGCAGCCTCCGCGATCGACCCCGCCCGCGCCGGGGACTTTTCCCCCGGTTTCGATTTCATCCCCGGCCCGCCGCCGCCGCCGCCGCCTCCTCCCCCGTCGCCGCGTCCCCTCGCCATCGCGTCGGCAGCGCCGCCCCCGCTCGCCCCCGGCGGCGACGACGCGGACGCGCGCAGCGTGTCGTTCGTGACGCACGCGCTCGCGCGAATCTCCACCTCTTCTCCCGGAAGGAGCTGCCCGTCCGTCGGCGCGAGGGCGAGCCACGGCGGCGCCACCGCGCGCGCGGCGGCGCCGCGCGCGCCCCCGGGGACGAAGCCCCACCGCGCGGGGACGTCCCCGCTGTTCACGAGCCGGAACGAGATCGCCTTGGTCTCGCCGTGTTTCAAATCCCCAAAGTCCGCCTGCGGGTTCTCGAGCGTGCACCGCGGCTGCGACGCCGCTTCCTCCGCGTCGAGTCTGCGGCGGAGCGAATCCAACGTCTCTTGCAGACGTTCCGGCTGCAGCTCGCGCGCGACGATCGTAAACTCCGCGAGCACGGGCTTGTGATCGCTCTGCGTGAGCTCCGCGCGCGCGTAGCTGTTCTGTCGTATATCCCTCCCGCGCCACAGGATGCGGTCGCACCACGCGGGCGTTCGCTTCTTCTTCTCCTCCTTCGCGCTGACTTTCACGCGGGCACCGCCGGCGTCGCCGTTTTCCCCGCCGCCGCCGTTTTCATCCTCCGCGCCCGCGTCCCCCGCGCCGCTGTACGTATTCGTCCCGGGCCTGTACTTGTACGTCGGCGGGAACGTCACAGGCGCCTCGATCCACCCCACGAACGCCTTCCCCGCGGCCCGCTCGAGCAACAGCTGATCGCTCCCGAGGAGCGACGCGCAGTTCCCGGACGCGATGGCGGCGCGCACGCGGTCGTCCGGAAGGTTGAGCCGGTAGTTTAAATCGCCGAGCCACACCGCGGCGTGCGCGTCGGCGACGCCGGCGGGTTTCTCCGCGACGCCGTCGCTGCTCGCGCTCGGCGGCGCGGGGAACGACAGCTTCGTGACGATCTCGCCAAAGTCAGCGCTGCGTTTCTCCGCGTCGCCTTCCTTCGACCCCGCGCTGAGGTGCGAGCATATGAAGACGATGGGCGTGGAGTAGACGCGCATCCACACCGCCGCGCCGCCTTTGTTCCCGAGCGTGATGTCCGGGGTTTTAAACCCGCCGAGGTTTAGACCGATGTTAAACCCGGTCGATACCGTGTGAACGCGGACGTCGCGCGTGTGCTCCGCGGTCGACGCGTTCACGTACACGGTGATGTACACTCCCACGAGCTGTTTGCTCGCGAGGCGGATGTACCGGTCTCTCCCCGCCGCCGCCGCCGCCGCGCCGGGAAAAGCCGGGGCGTCGAACGAGGTCCACCCGCCGCCGCCGCCGCTCACGCCGGGTGAATCGAAAGATGTCCACCCCGCGGCGCTCTGCGGCGTCTGCGTTCGGGGGGGCTGACCCGCGCGCTGCCACGACGTGTCGCTCGCGAACGCAGCGGCGTTTTTCGGCGCCGCCGCCGCCGCCGCCGTCGTCGTCGCCGTCGTCGCGGCGTCGTTCAGCGCGCGTTCGATGATCGCCTCCCACTCCCTCGTCGCCTTGTCGTCCTCCACGGCGAGGACCTTGCCCGCGGTCAACGGCACGATCTCCTGGAACCCGACGACGACGACGTCCGGGCGCGAGCTCGCGTCGAGCCAGCGCGAGACGTCGAGGTCCGCCGGCGGGGATTTCCCGTTCGTGTTCCACGTCCCGCAGAGCACCTTCAGGTCGCGCGCGCTCGTGTATCCCGCGATCGGCTCGTCCATGAACGCCGCGCGGACCTTCGCGTTCTTTATCCGCCCCGCCCACGCCTTCGTCAGCGGGTGTGGACCTTCCGCGTCCTCTATCGAGCTCGCGCGCGCGCCCGCGCCCATCGCCATCGCGTCGTGCCTCCGACCGCCTCCCCCTCCGCCTCCGCCTCCGGGCGCGATCGGCGCGGTGTTCGTGAACGCGCTGAAGTCCTCCCACGCCGCGGGCTCGTTGCCCTTGCCGGAGCCACCGCCGCCGCCTCCGCCTTTCCCGAGCATCTTCTTGACGCTCTTCATCGCTCTCGCTCGCGTGCCCCGCGAAGGGGCCAATGGCGCGGAGACCGCAATCGCGACGCGTCCGACGCCTCGGACCTCGCGAGTCGCGAGATCAGACGGAAGAATGACTGGATCAGAGGCGTGTGCCCGACGACAGGCACGAGTCAACAAAAACGCGACGCGTGGCGGCACTTCGCCGCACGCACGCGCGCACGCCGCGACTCGGGGATCGCACCGCGCGAAGCGCCGCTCGTCCGCACTCGCCGTCATGAGTCACGTGCGTGCGCGCTCTCGCTCGCCGTCGTCGTCGCTCGCTCGCGCCGCGCGCGTCCTCCCCAAGAGATTTACGCCCGACGCCCGACGCCCGACGCCCGACGCCCGTCGCGTCGAGACTTCCTTCCCTCCGCGGTTCGTCCCCCGACTCACCCGCCGCGCCTCCCCCCACGCTCCCTCCTCGAACAGATATTCGACGGCTACGAGAGAGAGTTCCTGGAGTACACCGCGTCCATCAACCGCGCGACCGCGTCGCTGCCGTCCTTGGACGGAGGTCCGCGCCCCGCCCGCGTCCGCGTCGCGCGTCCTAGTCGTTGAAACTCGCGAGATCCCCCTTTCCCTCCCGCGCTCTCGAAGTCGGCGCCCGCGCGTCCACCCACCCGCTGACCTCCCCTCTCCCTCTCTCGCTCTCATCGCAGCCGCGAAGAGCCAGAAGATCGCGGAAGTCGACGCGGAAGTCGCGGAGGCGGAGGCGCTCGTCCGTCGCATGGACCTCGAGGCGCGGTCGCTGCGAGACCCGACGGTGAAGACGCCCATGCTCGCGAAGCTGAGGGACTACAAGTCCGAGCTCCAGCGGCTGAAACGCGAGAGCCAGGTGGCGGCGCGCGCGATCAGTTCATCGAACGCGCGGTCGCAGCTGCTCGCGGGCGCGGAGCTGGACGACATGGGCGCGCCGACGTCGTCGTCGCAACGCGAACGCATGCTGCAGTCGACGGCGCGGCTGGACAGCACGGGGGATCGCATACGGGAAGGGAAGAAGTCGCTGCTCGAGACGGAGGAGCTCGGGGTGAGCATCCTGCAGGATCTGCATCGGCAGCGGGAGACGATCAGCAGCGCGAGGGAGAACGTGCACGGGGCGGATGATAACATCGCGAGGAGTAGGAAGATTCTCGCGGCGATGGGACGACGCGCGGCGGCGAACAAGTTGCTCCTGTACGGCATCATCGCGATGCTGTTCTTCGCGATTTGTTTCGTCGCGTACTTCAAGCTCATCAAGTCAGACAACGACGGCGGTGACGGGGGCGGGGAGTGATCGAAGGACGCGTCGCCGTCGCCGTTGCCGTTGCCGCGCGCGACCTAGGTAGCTCGAAACTTCCGCGAGGGTGAGAACTCTGACGAGAAACGAAAAATAAATTCGCGAACCATCCGTCGACTGTCCGTCGCCCTACGCCTACAACCCCCCACTCTCCTCCTTCGCTCTCGCCTTCGCCGGCGGCCACCGCGGCGCCGCCCCCCCGTCGTAGTAATCGTCCGTCCTGGACACTAAGTATATCCGCCCGCTCGCCACCTTACCGTACGGCGCGTCCTTCGAACTCTGGACGTCCGCGGCGAACGTGAGACCTCTCCCGCACACGTGACAGTCGCTCTTGAGCTTCACCGTCTTTGCGGCCGAGTTCGCGGGTAAGAACGCGTACACGCGCTCCGCGCAGTTTGGGCAGTCGCCCGACATCGCGATCGTGTTCCCATCGCGCAGGGACGCGAGTTTCCCGCACCCGGTCTGCGCGAGAAACCCGCCGAGGGCGGCGAGAATCGGCGCCCGCGCCGCCGGCCGCGTCGTCCCGGCCGTCTCCGCCAGTCCCAGTCCCGGTCCATCCCCGCCGCCGCCGCCGAAGCCGAAGACGCCCTCTAACGCGCCCGCGTCGACCGCGCTCTTCACGTCCAACCCCATCAGCGCTATCCCTAAGAACACGAACCCGGCCCACGTCGCCGCGAGCGCGCCCATCTGCTCGTAATCCGCCTCAGCGTCGCCGAACACCGTCATGTCGCGCCGCGAGCATCGCGGGTACTTCCTCGCGACGTCGCTGCCGAGGTGCTTCAGACGCGTCTCGATCGCGTCGAAGAAGGCGTCATCCACGATCGGCTGCCCGCTGAAGTACGTGTTCTTCGCCTGGAGGTACACCTCCTCGAGCTCCGCGCGCGTCGACAGATGGAGCGGCGGGAGACGGAGGCACGACGGCCCGTCGATGGAGGCGTCGTCCCACATGCCGAGCGACGTCATGTCGTACTTGGTTCCGTCCCACGTCTGCTCGTATCTCGTGCGCGCGTCGCCGGACCTGGACTTGGACGCGCGGCCGCTCGCGCGCGCGTTCGCGTTCTGCTCCGGCGTCGCCGACGCGCGGGGAGGGGAACGGATCCACGGGCGATGCGGAGACGCGCGATGAAGGCGACGACATCGACGACGATCTCCGCGGCGGTCGCGTTCGCCGCGCGCGTGGGGGGTCGTCGTCCCCGCGCCGAGCGCCGCGCGCGCGACCGTGGAACACATCGCCTTCCTCCCCGGACGCGCGGAGGCGAGTTCCCGGCCCGCTCGCGCGCGGAGGCACTGACGCGGGACCGCGACGCGCGCGATGGAACACGTCACTCGCGGACAGGACATTCTGTCGCGCGGCAGCGGCGCGGCGCCCACTGCCACTTTCCGTTTCAAGTCGCGAGCGCGAAGGCGCATTTTAAGCCGCGACCCCCTCTCCGCGGTTCGCCACTCCCGCACGCGCATCGTCGCACGCGCACGCTTCAGTGCCGCGACAAACGAACGTTCACACCGTTCGTCGCGCGAAGCAGATCGCACCGCGGGTCGACTAGCGTCGCGCGGGTGGATCGCGCGGGGAGACCGGGGACGCGCTCGATCGCGGGAAGCGCTGAGGGAGAGGAAAAACACCGGAGACCATGAAGCTCGTGCGGTTCCTCCAGAAGCTCTCACACGAGACGTGCACCATCGAGCTGAAGAACGGGACGGTCGTGCACGGGACGATCATGGGTGCGTCGTCGCTCAAACCCGGGGCGTTTCGTCGATCGGAGCGCCGCGCGCGACGTGTTCACGGCGCGCGCGTCTCGCGCGTTTTTCTGAAATCAACCCTAAGTTCGAGGACGGGGCGCTCGCGCCGCGCGCGATCGATCGCTCGCCCCTCCCGCTCTCTTCTCCGCGCGACCCATCACGCCGCCCATCACGCTGACCCCCACCCTCCCCCATGGGTCTTTCGTCTTCATCGCAGGCGTCGACATCAGCATGAACACGCACCTTAAGAACGTGAAGATGACGCTGAAGGGAAAGAACCCGGTGTCGATGGATCACCTCAGCGTGCGAGGGAACAACATTCGGTATTACATCCTCCCGGACTCGCTCAACTTGGACACGCTGCTCGTGGACGACACGCCGAAGATCAAGTCGAAGCCCGGGGCGAAGCCCGGCGCGGGGGCGGGGGCGAGGGGACGCGGGCGCGGACGGGGGAGGGGGCGGGGGCGGGCGCGTTGATGCGTTGATGCGGACGCGTCGACGAAAGAACGGAACGAAACGGCGGCCGAGAGAGAGACTTCGCGACGGCGTCGACGCGACTCGCTGGGAACTTAGCTGTTACTACTCACTCACCCTCGTTACAAAATGGACGAGGCACACTACTACTGTATACGACGTGCTCATTGCTCGCGCGCGCGACGCGCCGCGTCGTCCTTCGCGGTCCTTCGCCGTTCGTCACCGCGGCGCGCTCGGGAGCGCGTCGGCTTTCAATTTCTCCCCGTCGTCGCCCCCTGGTGCGCCCCCGCCCATCAACTCCGTCGCCTTCGTCAACCCCGTCGCCGCGCCCCTTCCGACTTTCCCGGTGATGTCGTGCTTCTCGTTGATCTCCTTCGCCTTCGCCGCGCCCGTCTTCGCGGCGCTGAATAACCTCCCGGTGATGCCGTACTTTTGGTTCGCCTCCTTCAGCTTCGCCGCCGCCGTCTTCCCGCACTCGTACAGCTTGCCCGTGACGTCGTGCTCGTCGTTGAACGCCTTCGCCGCGCTCGCCGCGGACGCGGTGTACTTCCCCGTCGTCCGCGCGATGTCCCCTATGTTGTCTTTGCGCGTCGTGGCGTACACCGCGGCCGTGCCCGCGGCGACGGCGGTGATCGGGCCCACGACGGCGAGCCCGGCGACGGCGGCGACGGCGCCCGCGCCCGCCATCGTGGAGTACCCGCCCGCGGTGCTCACGCCCTTCTGCGCTTGAGACGCGACCGTCGCGCCCTGCTGCAGCGCCGCGGCGCCGGACGCCATCGCGGCCATCTTCTCCGCCTGGAGCTTCGGCTGGAGCTTCGCGACCCTGGCGCGGTACTCGGTCGCTTTCGCGCGCATGGACGCGGCCTCGTCCGCGGGCGCGGCGTTCGCCGCGTCGTCGAGCGCCGCGGCTGCCTTGTCGTAGAGCTCGATCGCGCGAGCGATGTCGCCGTCGTTGTCCGCCTCCACCGCCTTGGACGCGAAGTCGATCGCGGCCTGGCACGGCATCGCGGCGTCTAGCTAGGAACTCCCTGTGCCTCCCGGACGTGTGCGGCGGCGGCGCTGGCGTGCGGACGCGCGCGCGGATCTGGCGAGACGGAATCTCGCGCCAACAACGATGACTCACGCAACGAGAAGAGACAAACTGTCGCTTAACTTCCTTCTGTTCTCGGAGCGCACGACGACGGCGCGCGGGGCGAGGCGCGGTCAGTACTCGTCGCGCGGCGGTGCGCTTGACGGAGACGTCGTCGTAGTAGTACGCGAACCGCGTCCGCGCGCCACCGCGCCGCGAGATCATCACGACAGCGCGCGCTGGTGAGGGGCGGAGGGTGCCGAGAAGCCCGAGCGACGATCGGGCGCGAAAACGTCGCCGATGCCTCCTCCGCCGCGCGGACGACGCGCGCCCGCGATGCGGACGCGCGCGGACTCCGACAGCGACCCTGATTTCGACCCGCGCGCTCCGGACGGGACTCACGAGGAGGACGACATCCCGCTGAACCAGCGGCGGCGAGGACGCGCGGCGGCGGCGAGCGCGTCGTCGTCGTCCGACGACGACGACGACGCGTCCGAGGCGTCGTCCGACGAGGCGAGCGATCGCCGCGGACGCCGCGGCGCCGGCGCGGGGCCGTCGTCGGGGAAGCGCGCGGCGGTCGTCGCGGGGAAGTCCCTGCGCGACGGCGGTCGCGGCGGCGGCGGCGGCGGCGAGAAGTCCTCGAGCGCGAAGAAGAAGCGAGGGAAGGTGGTGCTCGAGTCGTCATCGGACGACGACGACGGCGACGGCGACGGCGGCGCCCGCGGCGCGAGCGGCGCAGGCGGGCCGTCGTCCGCGCGTCGCCCTCGACGCGCGTCCGCGGCGGCGGCGTTGGCCTCGCGCGTGACCCCCCCGAAGCTGAACCTGAAGCGAGGGATTCGATCGCCGTCTCCCGGCGCGGACTCGGACTCGGACTCGGACTCGGACTCGGACTCGGACGCGCGCGCGGGCAGTCGCGGAAATCTCCGGGCGCTCGCGCCGCCGCGGTCGAACACCCGCAGCGGCGGCGGCGGCGGCGGCGGCGGAAGCGGCGACCTCCGGCGCGCGACGCGTTCCCGCCGCCGATCATCCCCGCAGTACGTCCCGGAGTACAACCCCGGGGCCGTCGATCGGAGGTTTTACGAGTACCGCTCGAAAGTGCGCGTCGCCGGCGTCAACGCCGAGCGCGTCTCGAGCGAGGAAGATCTGTCCTCGGACATGGACGACTTCATCCGACCGGACGGCGAGGAGACCGACGAGGAGGAGGACGGCGAGGGAGGGAATGGGAGCGACGGGGAGAGATCCAGATCGGGAGAGAGCCAGCCGGCGCGCGGGGAGGCTGAGGAAGGAGACGAGGCCGCCGCCGACCGCCCGCGCGACCCGGCGGCGGCGCCGCCGACTTCGAGCGACGACGACGATTTGCCTCCGCCGCCGCCGCGAGTTGCCCCCGCGGACGACGCGTCGCCGTCGGGGGCCTCGCCTCGCGGCGGAGGCTCTGGCGGTGGTAGGATGAAGCGCAAGGCGGCGATCGTCGTGTCGAGCGACGACGACGACGACGACGACGACGACGAGACCGCCGCCGTCGCCCCCCGCCGACGCGGCGTCGCCCGGCGCTCGACGCTCCTTCGCGACGACGACGACGACGGCGGCGGCGACGACGACGACGACGACGACGGCGGCGCGGCCGCCGCGGCGGCCACCGCGGCGGCGGCGATCACCGCGAAGACGCGCGTCTCCGCGAAACGTCAACGTAAGGACGAGGTGTGGAGACGTCACATCGATCAGCTGTCGAAGAAACCGATGCAACGCGTGGACGACGACGTCGAGAAGGCGCAGGAGCTCGAAGACGCCGCCGGCGCGGACAGCGAAGACGGCGACGATTGGCTCGTCATGGACGAGTTCATCGGGTACGAGAACGAAGAGGACGATCGCGAGTACGTGACGCGCTTAGACGATAGGATCCGTCCCGCGGCGCCGCCCGGGGTGGTGCCTCCGGACAGCCGCGCGTTCGACGGTGGTGGCGGCGGCGGCGACGACGAAATCGACGACGCGATCGACGTCGTCGACGCCAAAACCGGAAAGCGACGCAAGGTCCCGTCCGAGCACGCGGGGTTCAACCGCCAGCTCGCGGACGCCCTCCGCGCGGACGACACGACGGCGATCAAGTCGCTCCTCCAGCGCCACCCGGTGCCGCCGAGCCGCGAGGCAATGCTCCGCCGAGCCGGCGTCGCGGGCGCCGCCGCCGTCGCCCGCATGTTAATGACGATGAAGCACAAAGGAAACGAAGCGTCCAGGCCCGAGGTCGCGGGATTGCTCCACGCCGCGTTCGCGGGCGGGCACGTGAACGTGGTCGAGGCCGTGCGAGACGTCTTGGGGCACCGGTTCGCGTGCCGGACCCCGGGGGGCTGGCCGAGAGCCCCCGGCGGCGCGACGTTCGTGCACGCCGCGGCGGACAACAAAGCCGCGGACGCTCGCCTCGTGTGGCTCGCGCTCGAGGCCGAGGGCGAGCCCCCCGACGCGGAGGACGAGCTCGCGGCGTTCACGTCCGCGGCGACCGCGATCGCGGCGACGGCCGCCGCGCGATTGCTGCCGCCGCCGCCGCCGCCACCGTCGACGACGCCGCGCCGCCGCCGCCGCCGCCCGCCGGAAAAGCCGCCGCCGCCGCCGCCGTCGGAGTCGGACCGCGTTTTTCAACGGACCCGCGCGGAGACCCTCGCGACGTTCAAACCCTCCTCCGCGACGACGCGGCCTTTGACCGGGGGGCCGACGCTCGCCATCGCGCGTCTCCCGAACGCGCGCGCCGCGTGCGGGGTCCAGGACGAGAAGCAGGTCACGCCGCTGATGCGCGCGGCGGACGCGGGACCGGGCTGGGAGGCGTGCGTCTCGGCGTTGCTTCGGTCCGCCGCGGGGCGCGCGCGGCTCGGCGAGGTCGACTGCGCGGCCGCGATCGTGCAGGTGCACGACGAGGACGACGAGCAGACCGCGGCGCACTACGCCGCGAACGCGAACGCGGTGTCGACGCTCAGGCTGCTTCACAAGACGCTTCCGAGCTGCGCGCGGGCGATGGACGTCGCCGGCGCGAGTCCGCTGCATCACGCCGCCGCGGCGGGGCACACGGAGGTGCGTTCTATATACTGGTCCCCATACGACCCCGTTCGCGTGGTGAACGCCGATCCTTAAGGACTTTTGCCGTCGTGCATCTCCGCCCACCACTCGCTTTCAACGCCCGCCCTCGGCGCCTTTCAACTCCAGCTGACGCCTTTGAACTCCACCCCGATATCGCTTTGTATGGAACGACACGGAGGTCGTGAAGCTGTTGTTGAACGAGATGAACGTCGATCGGACGATCGCGGACAGCAAGGGGTGGATCCCGCTGATGTACGCGGACTTCGCGGGGAACCGAGACATGGTGTTGGCGCTCCTGCGCGTCCATCTCGGGGCGCAATTGGAAGCGATGCACGTGGTGATGAACGATCACGGGTCGCGGCCGAAAGTCATCGGCGTTTTGAAAACGCTCGCGACCGTGCCGCCGTTCTACGACGCGCTGAACGCGTACATCGCGAATCACTTGACGCTCCTCGACGGCGCGCTCGCGTTCCTGATGCGACGCACGACGATCGTGAACTTCGCGAACCGACGCGATTGGCTGCGGCTGAAGCTCGACGAGATCACGCGCGGCATCGACCGGAACCAATTTTTCGGTCACGCGCGAAGTGGCGTCATCCGCGGCTTCACGGCGAAGCACTCGGACCCGTGGAATTCGTTCACGCGCTGGGTGTGGCGCTACGGCGTGGAAGCCGTGAAGCGCTCGCCGCTGTGCTACCACCTGCGGTTCGTCGGGCAGCCCGCGGGGGGGCCGGGCGTCGAGCGCGAACTCATGGACGTCCTCGCGAGCGCGGTGACGGGCGCGAGAACGGAGTCGAACCTCGCGGGGTGGGAGCCCGAGTCCGACGACGGCGACGTGGACGAGGACGGATTCGAGCGTCTCGAGCGCGACGAGGACGACGACGACGACGCGCGAAGCGCCGGCGGCGGGTCGACCGACCTCGGGATCGCGTTGCTCCGGCCGACGTCTGACGGGCTCGCGATCTATCATCCGCCGCCGTTGCCGTCGCCGCTGCCGCGTCGTTTAGAGGACGAATACACCGCGTTAGGGTGGCTCCTCGGGTACGCGATCCTCCACGAATCGCCGCTGCCCGTCGCGTTCTCGTCCGCGTTCCTGAAAGCGCTCGCGGGGAGGGCGGACGCCGCGGGATGGGAGGACGTGGAGGAGATGGCGCCGCAAACCGCGCGAGGGTACGAAAACGTGCGCGCGATGACCGACGGCGTCGACGCGCTCGCGCTCACGTTCAGCGTCGAAGAGGAAGAAATCACCGTCCCGGAGCCGGAGCCGGGAGGCGTTTTCGGCGGCGCGGCCGGGACGAGGATGATCGAGACCGAGCTCGTGCCCGGGGGAAAGATGAAGCCGGTGACGGACGCCAACGTCGAAGAGTACCTGCGACTTCGCGTCGCGCACGACGTTCGACGGGTCACGCGGTCGGCCGCCGTGAAGTGCGTCCGCGCGGCGATGAACGACGTCGTCCCCGCGGAGTACGTCCGGATGTTCACCGCGCCCGAGCTCGCGTGTCTCATGGGCGGCACCGCGAAGATCGACGTGGACGAATGGCGCGCGAACACGATTTACGAGGGCGGCTACGACGCGGATTCGCCGCAAGTTCGCTGGCTCTGGCGGCTCGTCGGTAAGTTCACCCCGGAGGAGCGGACGCTGTTGCTAAAGTTCGTCACCGGGTCGTCGAGGATGCCCGCGGGCGGGTTCGCGCAGCTGCAAGGGATGAACGGCGTGCGTCTGTTCGAGGTCATGCGCGTGGCCGCGGGGTGGACCGAGGGCGGCGGCGGCGGCGGCGGCGGCGGCGGCGGCGGCGGCGGCGGCGGCGGCGGCGGCGGCGGCGGGTCGTACGCGTTGCCGACGGCGTCCACGTGTTTTAACACGCTGCGATTGCCCGCGTACCCGAGCTACGACGTGCTCGAGCAGCAGGTCACGACCGCGCTGCGGCACGGCGTCGAGGGGTTCGCGTTCGATTGACGCGAGAGAGGGGGAATATGTAGAGTAGCTCTCAGATGAAGAAGAATGCGACGCGTACACGTGTAGCCTCGAGGTCGTATAGTTTCTTTTTTAACAACGAACGCAGCGCGGCATTCTTTGGAACCCTCGTCACACCCCGCGCGCACGAACCGCCGCGCGCGATGTCGTGGTCGTCCACGACCGAGGCGCTCTTCGCGTCGTCGTCCCCCGCCGCGGCGGCAGAAGACGACGTCGACGCGTGGAACGACGACGCGCTCATGGACGCGTACAAGACCGCGGTGGAGTCGTACAAGCGATCGCACGGGCTCTCGTCCTCGGCGACCGCGTCGCGTCTCTCCCCGAGCGTCGCCGGCGGGCGCTCCTCGGGGAGCGGGAAATCCAAGGGCGGCGGCGCGGCGGCGACGCCGACGCGCTCGCCGCGCGCGGCGTCGCACGTCGCGGGATCGACCCCGGGCGGCGGCGCGGACGCGTCGCCGCGATCGAACGCCCCGCGCGTGACGCCTCTGCACGCGATCCCTAAGCGCGCGCAGGCGTCGCGTCCGTCGTCCGAGATCGCGCCCGCGGACGACGAGCCGCCGCCCGCGGTGGGGACGCCGGTCGCGAACGTCGTCCTCGGCGTCCCCGTCGCGCGCGCGGGCGATGTCGGGAGCGGGGACGGAGGATTTGGAGGAGGAGGAGGAGGACGAGGAGGAGGAGGAGGAGGAGGAGGAGGACGATTCGGAACCGACGTTACCGGCGGCGGCGGCGGCGGGGAGAGCGAGCGCGAAGCCGCGTGGCGCGAGTGGGAGGCGTGGGAGGCACACTACGCGTCGCAGGCGCAGGCGCAGGCGCCGCAGGAAGACCAGCGAGGGGTCGGCGTCACGCACGACGCGTACGCGTACGCGGGAGAAGAGCGCGGCGCGCGCGACGACGGCAGCCGGCGCGGACGCGGGTACGGATACGGAGACGGACACGGGTACCCGCCCGAGGGGGCAGCGCATCAACCGCCGCCGCGTCACCACCACCACCTCCACCACCCGCCGCGTCACCACCACCACGAGCACGACGTCGTCTACCACGGGCGGCATCTTCATCGTCATCATCACCCGGGGGGACCGCCGGGACCGCCGCGGACGCCGCCGCCGCCGGGGACGACGCCGCCGCCGCGCGCGCCGCCGCCGCCGTACGATCCGTACCGCGGCTACTACGCCGCGGACACGTCGTACGATACATCGTACGACGCGTACTATGGAGCACCGCAGCGCGCGGCTCCGCCGCCGCCGCCGCCGCCGCCCGGCGCGGACGTCGGCGCGTCCGCGCGCGCGACCGCGGCGGCGACCGTTCCAAGCGGGACGGAGGACGACGTCGACGAGCTCGCCAACTTGCTCATGTCGTGGTACTACGCGGGGTACTACACCGGGTCGTACAGCCGACCCCCGGGGACGACGACGACGCGGCGGCGGTATCCGTAGGTATACAGTAGTAGTCGGTCGAGAGAGACGTCGGCCGGCGCGGGTCGCGGTTGGCGTGGTGATGTGAACGCGCATTCGTCGTCTTCTACAGTACGCGTACTCGCGCGCGACGCGGAAAATAAATGGTTTGGCTCGATGCGGCGCTTCCAGTCGTCTCAACACCGGACGGCGGCGCCTCGCGCCGGAGACGCGAGCGGACTCGCCGCGGTCCTCGCGAACGCCGGCACGCACGCGACGCACTCCGTCATCCCGACCTCGTTGCACGCGAAACATCTCCGCGTGACGTCGACGCAGTGCACCCTCGTGCTTCCGTGGCACTTCCCGCAGACGACGAACCCGCGCCCTCCGCACCCGCCGCATTCCTTCTTCTTTACATTTACATTTTCGTCTCCGTCTTCTCCGTTTTCCTCGTCGTCCCCGCGTCGCGCGCCGAGCGCCTTCAGAGCGTCTTCCAACCCTCCATCGCACACGAGCGCGTCCAGCTCATCCCCTCCCGCGACCGCGACGTCGCCCACGAACAAGTACGGCACGACCAGCCCTTTCCCGGCGCCGGGTCCACTCGTCGCGGCGAGGCGGCCGCGGAGTTCTTCTCTGTACGCGCACGCCGCCGCGACGTCGCGCTCGATCGCGTTCGCGACGCCGAGCGCCCGCGTCGCGGCTCGCGCGCGGTCGCACTTGTCCTTCGTCGCGCGCACCGCGCTCATGGAAGTGACGTACAGCACGACCGCGGTCTTCCACTCGTCTCGTTCGGTCTTCTGTGGAGATTTTTGGTGCTTCGCGGGCGGCGGCGGCGTGTTTTCTTTCCGCGGCGACGGAAGCGTCGCGAGCGGGCTGCGTCCGTTTCGCGGCGTCGGCGTCGGCGGCGTCGGCGGCGGCGTCGCTTCCCGAGGCGGTGCCGCCGCCGGCGCGGGGTTCACGACGTGCGGCGAACACAAGAACTCGCTGATCGCGTCGTCCGTGGAGTCGGACTCGTTCCCTCCGCCCGGGGACACCGTGCGCGCGAGGAACGCGTCGATGACGTCCACGCCCGGGCTCGCTTCGCGTTCGACCGGCGGCGTCGGCGTCGCCGTCGTCGGTTTCGGACTTTTTTCCGCCGCGGCGACGACGACATCTCGCGGCGGCGACGGCGGAAACTCGACGACCTCCTCCTCCACGACCACCGCCACCCTCGCGGGCGCGCGCGCCGTGGCTGGCGGCGATCCGAGGAACACGCTGATGACGTCGTCCTCGTCGCTATCGTACGCGGCGTCGTCCGTCGGTTCCGCGGCGGCGGCGGCGACTTTCGACGGCGACGGCCCGCCGCCGGCGGCGGCGCGTTCGGCGCGCGTCCCCGCCACTTCCTCCTCCTCCGCCGCCGCGGTCGCGTCCTCTCTCGTCGGCGTCGAAGTCTCCACGACCTCGCGCATCGCCTCCATCATCAGCTCCACGAGATCGGGTTCGACCGCGGCTGGGGACGCCGACGGGTCGTCAGCCTCCGCGTTCGCGCCGCGTTTCGGTGCCGTCTCCGCGGGACGAGATTCGTCCGCGTCCGCGTCCGCGTCAGCCTCGGGGGTCGCGACGGCGACGGACGCCCGAGCTTCCGCGCGCGTGTTCTCTGCGACGTCATCGACGATCGCCGCGGGGGGCGGGGACTCGGGAAGACTTCCGGTGGGCGACGCCGTGGTCGGCTTCGCCATGCAGTGGCACGGCGCCATCGAACTCCCGCGACGATTCGGGGGAACAACTCTCGGAGGATCTCGGGACGGGCGCGCGCGGGGATCTCACGGCACCTCGAACGCTGAATGAAAGGCGATGCGTATCGAAATGCGTTCGCGGATCTTCGCGTACTCGCGCGCGCTCGTGCGCGGTCGACGGGGACGACGACGCGCGGCGTGCGGCGCGACACGACGACTGGAGGCGTCCGACGTCGCGCGAAAACTGTCGCGGCTGGCACCTCACTTCCGTACGTAGTACGGAAGAACGTGAAACCTTATGAGCATTTTGAGTGAAAGTCGGGGGCGAACAGGAACCAGCGTCTTTCCGCTTTCCCGTCTTGTCGTCGGAACGAGGGAAAAACGCTCCGACGGATTGCACCTCGGAAAGCCACGACGACGGCAGCTGCCGCGGCACTTTCCCTGTCGCCGCCACGACGCGATGCCGAAAATCAAGCTTCCGCGAAAGATCCGCGACCCCGTGAAGAAGGCGAACGGCGGGTGCGGGGAGGCGGCGTTCAAGCTCTCACGTCACTACGCGGAAGGGTCCGACGGCGTGGAGAAAGACATTCAGATCGCACGTCAGTGGCTCTTTAGGAGCGCGGAGCTGGGGAACGCTGACGCCCAAGTCGCCTTCGCCGTCTGGCATAAAAATGCAGGCGAGAACGACTTCGCGCGCACGTGGTGGGAGAAAGCTGCGGCGCAGGGCAGCCCTGACGCCGCGTACAACCTCGGGGTGCTCTACGACCACGGACACGGAGACGGCCTCAGCGTAGAGGAACGCACGTGTGCGGCGGCGGGGTGGTACTTGAAAGCGGCGTCGAAGGGGATGCGTGAAGCCCAAAACAACTACGGGCGTTATCTCGAAAGTACAGGACATCACGGAGAAGCGATGACATGGTACGAGAAAGCCGCGGCGCAAGAACACGCGGGCGCGATGCACAACATCGCGATGATGTACCTCGACGGCGTCGGCTCGGAGCGAAACCTCGCGAAGGCGCGGGAGTGGTGGACGAGGGCAGCCGAACTCGGGTACGAAAAAGCGAATGAGTGTTTGAAGGAAACCGAAGGGTATGGGCATGACGGTCTCCTCGACGGTCTCGTGAAGAAGGCGAACGACGGGTGCGGCGATGCGGCGTGGGAGCTCGGCTCGCACTACTACCACGGGACCGGCGGCGTGGAGAAGGACAAAGAGCTCTCGCGTCACTGGGTCGAGAGGGCCGCGGAGCTCGGGCACGTTGAAGCGCAAGCTTACCTCGACCGCAATTCAAGATCAAGGGGCGATTACAACACCGACGATCTCGTGAACAAGGCGAACGACGGGTGCCGCGATGCGGCGTGGAAGCTCGCCTCGCACTACTACTACGGGACCGGCGGCGTGGAGAACAAAGAGCTCTCGCGTCACTGGGTCGAGAGGGCCGCGGAGCTCGGGCACGTTGAAGCGCAAGCTCATCTCGCGAGCATGTTGAGATCCGAAGGCGACTACGACACCGCGCGTAAATTGTTCGAGAAAGCCGCGGCGGCGGGGAGCTCCCGGGCCGAGTACGGCCTCGGGTTGATCTACTGGCAAGGCTGCGGCGTTCCGCGAAACGTTTCCATGGCGGTCAGGTTTCTTCGATCGGCCGCGTCGAAGGGGGATCCTGAAGCCCAAGCCAACTACGGGCTCTTTCTCGTCAGAGAGATGAACGAACCCAAAGAAGCGATGAAGTGGTATGAAAGAGCCATGGCACAAGGAAACTCGGGAACGATGTTCCAAACCGGGTTCCTCTTCAACAACATCGGGATGCTTCACTACAACGGCGAAGGCGTTCCAAAAAACGTGTCGACGGCGCGGCACTGGTTTACAAAAGCCGCCGCGAAGGGATACGCAGAATCGCAGAAGATGCTGAACGCCACGGTCACTGAAGCCCTGCAGGAGGGCGCTCCATACGATTACGTAGCCATCGAGAAGATACTTACTGAGCGCGTGGAGTTTTTGGGCACGGATAAGGAAGTGGAGAATCTCGATGAACTGAGGGCGCTTAAAAGGAAAGCTCTCCGTGATATCATGGAACTCTCCGGTGCAAGCATCAGCGACGACGCCGTGGAGCTCTTCGTTTCCGGGCCGCTTCCTGATCACAAGGCTGCAGATGTCTATCATCATCTCGGTCTTTGCTTCCTTCACGGGAGGTGCGGACTCGAGAAGAACCTTCGGATGGCCAAGGAGGCCTCCAAAGTGGACGAAATTGACCCCCGGGACACCGCCGCCGCCGCCGCCGCCTCTGAGGAGCTCGTGAAGCTTCGAGCGTGCGTCACCTGCGGTAAGCGCGACGTTCGTTTGGGATGCAAACTGTGTCGCGGCGTGCGGTACTGCAACAAACGGTGCCAGCAGAAGGACTGGGCCCGCGGAACGGAGCAGCACCCGCCGCACCGAGAGACGTGCTCGCGCGTCGTGAACGGAATTGTTCCACCCGGGGTATTCGCGCGGCTCCGCGACGACGCGGCGAAGAACAGAGAAGCGTCGAACTGAACTACGACAGCACGAGTACGACGATGCGCCATTGTGACGAACGAACGAACGAACGAATGAACGAACGAACGAACGAACGAACGAAGCGCGAACGACGCGATGCGCTCTGTTATTTCCTCTCTCTCTCGCGCTTGTCCTACTACGATACGAAAAACGGGGCGACTACAAAACCCCCGCGACGCCGACGCCGAGCACCGCGCACGCGCCCGCGCACGCGGTCAACGTCGCGACAACCTTCAGCTCCCCCCACCCCCCTAGCTCCAAGTGGTGATGCAGCGGCGCCATACGCAGTAACCGCTCCCCTTGCCCCGTTTTCTTCTTCGTCCACTTGAACCACGACACCTGCGCGATCACCGACACCGTCTCGGCGATGAACACCGCGGTGGTGACCACCAGCGGCAGCGTCGCGGCCCCGCCCGCGGCGGCGGCGACCGCGCCTAACGCACCCCCCAACGCCAACGACCCGGCGTCGCCCATGAACATGTCCGCGGGGTGACGATTCACGACGAGAAACCCCGCGGCGGCGCCGCCGAGGGATATCGAAAACGCCGCGAGCTCGCTCTGCCCGGACGCGACGAGCGCGATCCCCGTCCCGACGAGCGCGATCGCCGCGGTCGCCGCGGCGAGCCCGTCCAACCCGTCCGTGATATTCACCGCGTTGCTCTCGGACACCATCGCGAACGCGGAGAGCGCCCAGAACAGCGATCCGAGGTCGACGACGCTCCACGCGCCCATCCACGGCCCCAACGCCACCGCTGTGCTCGGAGGCGGCGCCGCGACGCCGCTCGAGAGCCACGCCACGAAGCTCGTCGCGACCGCGGACTGCAGCCCGAGCTTCGCGTACGGGGATAACCCGCGGGCGTTGTTCTTCGACAGGAGCTTCTGGACGTCGTCGAACGCGCCGATGGAGAGAAACCCGAGCGTGGTCAGACACGTCGCGACCACCACCGGATCGGCAAACGTCGTAAACGCCATCGCGGTCACGCACCCCGCGGGCACGAACGCGAGCCCGCCGAGCGTGGGCGTCGTGGACTTCGCGCCGGTCAGGTGCCCGCGCGGTCCTTCCTCGCGCACGGGCTGGTACGACTCCTGTTTCGAGAGGTACGAACACAGCGCGCTCGACGCGACGGCGGCGACGACGAAGGCGACGCCGAACCACTGCAGCGGCGTGCCCAAGAGCGCGGCGCTTACGAACGTCGTCGTCGCGTCGCCAGGGCCGCCTTGGACGACGCCCCATCGCCCGCCCAGCGGCGCGGTCGCGTGGAGCCACACCGCGAGGGAGAAGGTCACGACGCGGAGGAACGCGCCGCCGCCGCCGGCGAGCGGCGACCGCGGCGGCGCGACGTCCTCCTCGGTGAGGCCGAAGTCCTCCGGTTGGAGCTCGCCGGAGCGGATCCTCTCCAGGATGTCGTGCTCCATGGCTTCCTCCTCCGTCATCGGGCCTTCGCCCACGTACTGCGACGGCTCGGCGTCGTCGTCGGCGTCGTCGGGGGCGGTCGAGCTCGAGTGTGAGTTCGAGTTTGAAGCCGCCGCCGCGCGGGCGGAGGAAGGCGGCTGCCGCGGCGCGAACGCTGAGATCGAGATCTTCTTCGTCGTCCCGCCGCGGATCGACGACGCGCGGCGGACGGCGACGACGCCGCGGCGCGCGACGCTCGTCGTCGCGTTTCTCGTCGCGCGCATCGGCGCGAGCGACGGCGTCGTCGCTCGCGCCGTGCAGATCGTCGTCGTCGTCATCGCGTTCTGTTGCTCTTCCCCCCTTCCTAACCTAAATCAAATATCTATCCGCGTCTCGCGTGGTCTACCTAGCTCCGCGTCGTCGTCTCAGACCTTGCGCTTCTTCCTGTTCGCCTCCACGATCTTCTTCATCTCCGCGTTCGTCGGCGGCTTCGGCCCTTCCGGGGGGTACACGACGTACGCGTGGCGCTTGATGATGGTCTCGAGATTCTCCGGGTTCGCCGCGAACGCGACGGTCATCGCGATCGGAATGGAGAGGTACGTCGCAAACTTGAAGAGCTCGAGGGAGAACCTCGGCCGCGCGCTCGACATCCTCCGCGCGGTCGCGAGGGCGAGGGAAGCGAGGCGGCGCGGGTCCTCGGTGCCGGGGAGCTCCGGGGGCGCGTCCGCGGAGTGAGGAGCCAGGGCGCGGTGTTTCCCTGGAAAAGTCTTGTCTGCGTGACAAGACCCGACCTGCGAAACTCGGGACGACTGGCGCGACGTCCCCTCACTTCGCCTCGCGCCCGTCCCCGCCGCCGCACGCCAGATCCGAGCATGTCCTTCGACGAGACCACGGAGATCACGGAGATCCCGAACGCCCCCCGCGAGCTCCGCGAGGAGACGACGCGCGAGGCGGTCGTCGCGCGAGACGCGGGGACGACGACGGCGGAGCTCGAAGCCACGACGGCGAAGCGAGCGAAGCTCGCCACCGAGCCAGAAGCCACGAAGACGACGCCCGAGTCCGAGCCCGAGGCCGAGCCCGAGCCCGCGCCGCCTCCGCCGCATACATCGAGCGAGGAGAAGCGCGCGCGCGAGCTCCAGGAGCGCGAGGACGCGGCGAAGAAGACCAACGCCGCGGCGCCCGCGCCCGCGCCCGCGGCGGCGTCGGGGGCGTTCGTCCCCTCCGAGACGTTCGCTGGCGCCAGGCCTGGGTACGTCTTCAAGCAAGGGCCCGACGGCGTGGGGTACTACGTGGACGAGCTGGGGGACGAGGGCGGGAACGTCATCGAACACGTCGACGACTTCGTGCTCGGGTTATTCGACGCCGTGGTTTGGATCCCGCGCGAGGAGGCGGAGTTCGCGCCGTCGAAAAAGTTCGCGGGCGCGAAGCGAGGGTACGCGTTCAAGAGAGGGCCGCGAGGGTTGGGGTATTACAAGGACCGACCGCTCACGGCGACGTCCGGCTCCCTCGACGCTTCGCGCCCCGCCCTCCAGGCCGACGGCACCATCGCGTGCGCGATCTTCGCGCATTTACAGGACCCGAAGGACCGCGTCGCGCTCGCCGCCGTGAGCAGGGTGTTTCGGGACGCGGAGAAGTCGGACGCGTCGTTGCCCGGCGGGTCTGCCGCGGCGGTGTTCAAGCTCAGTTTTGACTTTGTGGGCGCGTATCGGAGGCGGAGACGGCTCGATCATCATGAGCTGATCGACACAGAGACTGATATGGATCTCGTGAAGGCGTTATACTGGATGCGTAAGGCGGCTGATCTTGAAAACGCCGACGCTATGTACTCGCTTGGGAAGTGCTACGATGACGGGCACGGCGTGGAGGAAGACGAGACGAAGGCGAACGAGTGGTACGAAAGAGCGGTCGCCCGTTACCGTGTGCTGGCTGAAAGTGAAAGAGATTCGGAAGCTTCGGAAGCTATGTGCCATCTCGGGTATCTTTACGCACGCGGGGAGGGCGTGGATCAAGACCAGACGAAGATGATTGAGTGGTTGGAAAGAGCATCCGAGTTCGGCCATGCCATCGCGTCCTACATTCTCGGTCAAACGTTTGAAGGAAAGAAGGAGTACGAGAAAGCGGAACACTACTTCCTTAAGTCGGCTGAGGAAGGCTGCTCCGCCGCTATGCTCAAGTTCGGGATTGCATACCTTAATGTAGTACGCGGCGGCGGCGGCGGTAGTAAGATGCTCACGGAGGCGTTCAAGTGGATCGAACGAGGGGCGGATCCGGCATTAGCGGATTCTGCTATGGGTCTATGCTGGCTCGCGTATTGCTACAACTATGGCATAGGCGTGGAGAAAAATGCCCCAAAGGCGGTCGAACTGTACATCCAGGCGCTGGAACTCGACGAGGACATCTTATGGGATGATCCCGCCGATTTGGGCTCTGAAAGTCAACGCGTCCAGTGGAATCTCGGGCAAATCTACGAACACGGCAAGCCCGGCGTGGCGGTGAACAAAACGGAGGCGCTGAAGTGGTACCGCGCGGCTGTGGACTTCGGTGATTCCGACGCGCGAGACGACGTGGAGCGTCTCGAGTCGGAGCTCCAGGGAGCGTGAACGAGCACGAATTAGAACGCGTCTGTAACGAACGAACGAACGCACGAACGAACGTCTTCCCTCCCTCTTCGCGCGCGCGCGGCGGCGGCGTTTTGATTTTTTCTGTTTTTTTGGCGAAGGAAGGAAAATTCCGCGAGCTGCCAGCGGAGGTCGCCCACAACGCGGCGCCGCGCCCGCCCGCGACACGCGCAGCGCAGCACGCGAGGACGAACATGACCGACCTCGACGCGACGGTGGCGAGCTTCACGCCGACGCGGTCGCCCTCCGCGGACCGCTCCTCCGCGTCCGAGCCGTCGCCGACGCCGACGCCGACGCCTTCTGATGATGCGTCGAGATCGCCCCGCGTCATCGTCACCCCGGGCCGCGATCTCGACGCCGCGGCGAGCCGCGCGGCCAGGCGCGACGCGGAGCTCAGCGCGCGCGAGGCCGCGCTCGCGGAGCGCGAGGCCGCGCTCGCGCTCGAGCGCGCGGCCTTGGCGAGCGCGCGCGAGGCCGCGAGCGAGAGCACGTCGAGGGTCGCCGCGGAGACGACCGTCGCGTGCAACACCGCGGCGAAATCGAAAGCCATGAACGCCGCGGTCGCCGCGGAGCTGAACCGCCGGGAGGACGCGCTGAGTCGCCGCGAGGACGAGATCGCGGCGAGGGAGCGCAGGGAGACGTCCGCCGCGCTGCGCGAGCGCGAGGACGTCGTCGCGGAGCGCGAGAAGCGTGCGGCCGCGGTCGAGGCGCAGCTCGACGCGAAGCTCGCGGAGGCGGAGCGCGCGGAGGCGGCGCGGGGCGCCGCCGCGCGCGACGCGATCGAGACCGTCACCGCGAACTTGGAACGCCGCGCCGCGGAGGTTGCGAGCGCGCAGGTTCAGAGCGACGAGCGCGCGCGCGTCGCGGACGACCGCCTGAAGGCTGCGGACGAGCTGCACGCGTCCTTGGAGGCGAGGGAACGCGCGGCGACGGAACGCGAGTCCGCGTTGTCCCAGCTGCAAGACGCGGTCGAGCAGCGGAGCGAGGCGCTGCGCGAGGCCGGGCGCGAGCGCGGGGAGGCCCTGGAGGCGATGCAGATCACGCTGAAAGCGCGGGAGGAAGCGCTGAAGGCGGTGGAAGCGCAGCTCGCGGAGTCGAGGGCGAGAGCGCGAGAGACGGCAACCTCCCAGGGCGGCGGCGGCGGCGGCAGCGGCGGCGGCGGCGGCGACGACCTCTCCGAGGACGCCGTCCAGATGCTGCACGTGCTCCAGCTCAAGCTCCAGCTCGCGGAAGCCGAGCGCGCGGCCGCGGAGGATAAGACGAACGAGATGGAGCGCAGGTGCGAGCAGTTCGAAGCCGTCGCGACCGCGGCGACGGACCTCGCGTCGAAGCTCGAGGCGACGGTGTCGACGCAGCAACGCGTCCTGGAGACTTTGAACGAAAACGGCGCGGGCGAGTCGTCAGAGTTGGAGCTCGCGAACGCGGAGATCGCGCGGTTGAAGCTGATGAATAACGGTGCTGGCGGTGGAGTGGGCGAAGAGAACAAGGATGAGGAGATTGCCACGCTGAAACGCGCGTTGCGTCTCGCGGCTGAGCGCGCCGCCGCCGCGGAGAAGGCGGCGAAGGCGGCGATCGCGCGCGTCACCGCGCACGCAAAGGCGCAGAAGAACGGGGAGATGGACGCCCTTCGCGCGACGCACGACGCCGAGGTCGCCGCCGCGGTCGCGAAGGTTTCGAAGGGCACCGCGATCGAGGACTGGGTCGCGATCGCCGACGACGCCAGGCGCGAACGCGACGACATCGCGGAGGAGCTCCGCGTCGCGTCCGCGGCGAGCGCTCGCGCGGCGGCGGTGTCGGAGAAGCTCGATGTTCGCACCGCGACGTTAGCCGCGACGACCGCGGCGCTGGAGGAGGTTGTGAGGTCTTCTCATGGGGGACGGGTGTTGGCGTCGTCACAAGAGAGCCCCCGGGCTGCTCCGAAAAACGACGACGACGCGTCGGAAGACCATATGGCAGTGTTGGACTACCTGTGCTCCGTCGCGCGCGAGCGATTTAAGGACGACGGCGACGGCGGCGACGGGGGGAGGGACTTGTTCGAGGGCGGGAAGCTCGAGGCGCGCGCGCGCGTCGCGGTGAAGGACGTGACGCGCGCGTTGACCGAAGCGGCGGCGGCGGCGGCGGCGGGGGGGGGGGTTGGGGGAGCGGGGTCGGGCGTGCGCGCGTTTGCTTCACCGGCGACGGGCGAGGGAGGACTGAATCCTGAGAGGGACCTGAGCCCGATCGAGCGCGCGACGAGCCCGGCGGTGATGAAGCTGCACGCGATGGAGGCGTCGTTTGCGGCGCAACGCGAGCGGATGACGACTTTGACGATGTAGAGAGCGGTCTGGTCGAAAAAAAACCAAAACAAAAAAACGCCGCGATTCCTCGGAAGTCCCGTCACTCGCCACACGCGCGGGACGACGCCACCTCCTCCTCCTCCTCCTCCGCGGCTTCGTCGCGTAGTTCTCTCTGACCCCGCGACGCGATGTCGCCTTCGCATCCGAAGAAGCGCGCGCGTCTCGGAGGCGCCGTCGACGAGACCGCGGGAGACGGATCGTCTTCCGCAGATCTCGTCAACGACGCCCCGCTTCTGGAACGACTCGCCGCGGACGCGCGCGACGTCTTGGACGCGCACCTGCTCTCGCGGCTCGACGACGGCGACCGCGCGATGCTCGCGCTGGTGAGCCAGAACATGCGCGACGTCGTCTTCACGTCGTCCTTCGGCGAGGTGAAGGACCTCGCGGCGGTGAGGAAGGAGCTCGGGAGGGTGCGGAACTTCGTCGGGTCAATCGGCAGGTTGGCGTGGGCGAAGGAGCGAGGGTGTCCGTGGAACGCGAAGACGTTCAAGGTCATCGCGAAGGGTGGGAACGTGGAGGTCGCGAAATGGGCGAAAGAGCGAGGATGCCCGTGGGACGTGAAAGTGGTTTGCAACTCCGCCGCGTTTGGCGGCCACCTGGAGATGCTGCGGTGGTTGCGAACGAACGGCGCTCCGTGGACCGCGAAAGCGCTGTCCATCGCCGCTCGAGAAGGCCACGTGGCAGTAGTCGAGGCGATGGTGGCCGCGGGCGCGGACGTGAACAAGGCGGATAAGTACGGCGTGACGCCGCTATACTTCGCCGCCTTAGAAGGCCACGTGGCGGTGGTCGAGGCGCTGGTGGCCGCGCGCGCGGACGTGAACCATGCGAGGAATGACGGCGAGACGCCGGTGTATGCCGCCGCTTTGAACGGCCACGTGGCAGCAGTCGAGGTGCTGGTGGCCGCGGGCGCGGACGTGAACAAGGCGAAGGATAACGGCGACACGCCGCTGTATACGGCCGCTCAAAAAGGCCACGGGGCGGTGGTCGAGGCGCTGGTGGCCGCGCGCGCGGACGTGAACCATGCGAATGATAGCGACTGGACGCCGCTGTACATCGCCGCTTACAACGGCCACGTGGCAGCAGTCGAGGCGCTGGTGGCCGCGCGCGCGGACGTGAACAAGGGGGTGACGTGGAACAAGACGCCAATGTACATCGCCGCTTACAACGGCTACGTGGCGGTGGTCGAGGCGCTGGTGGCCGCGCGCGCGGACGTGAACAAGGCGGATGTTAAAGGCGAGACGCCGCTGTACATCGCCGCTCGCAACGGCCACGAGGCGGTGGTCGAGGCGCTGGTGGACGCGGGCGCGGACGTGAACAAGGCGATGAATGACGGCGCGACGCCGCTGTACGCCGCGAAGAAATACAATGCCGCACCAGGGTTTAGGGACTTCGAGGCGGTGATCAAGTTGTTAGAGGCCGCGGGCGCGAAGTGAAGGAGGCGAAGTACCCGCGGGAGAAAGTACCCGAGGCGAAGTACCCGAGGGAGGACTGAAGAAACCTGAGAGAGACGTGATGAGCCCGATCGAGCGCGCGACGAGCCCGGTGAGTAGAAAAACTACATGCAATTCGACTTTCTTTTCACGCCGCCGCCGCCGCCGCCGCCGCCGCCGCGTCCCTCCCCGGGAGCTTTTTTTAGGGCTACCTCTCATCACCGCTTCCTCTTCGTCGCCGCCGCCGCCGCACGGAACGCCGATCGCGGCGAAGGTGTCGCGGTGGATGAGATCGCCGACGACCTTCGACCTTCGGACGGTTCACGGGGTATTATTCTTCTGTCCTGCAAACCATCTCGATATAAGTTTGTTCGTATTTTGTTTGGGTCTCAACATTTCCAATTTCGATCACAATTGAGACAACTCACAAAAGTTGTCCATCGGCGCACGGCTTCGTCGCGCAGGTCGATCGCCCACCACAGGTCTTCGTCGGTCGCACCTGCGGATGTACCCAAGCACCGCCCTTGGAACCACGCCTCGAAAACCCCGCCGTCTTCGTTCTCCCGCTTGACGGCCTCCACGCCCATGATCCCGACGACGCGACGCTTCAACGCCTCGAACTTGACAGTCGTCGCGTCGTCGTCGCCGTCGGTCACCTGCACGACGTTGTTCGGTTCTCTCTTCCCTTTCGTCCCCCCGCGTTGGTTCGAGGTCGACGCGGCATCTGCAGACATCTGCGGGGACGAGAAGGACCGGGGACGAGAAGCACAGGGTAAGTATCCGCGCGCGCGGCGTCGGTCGGCGACGACGTCGCGCGCGCTCGATCGCGGATCTCATCCCCGACAGAAAAAAGCGTTTCGCGTTTTCCGAGGAAACGCGCGCCGTCGCGCGCGCGCTTATTCGCTTCGCTCGCGCGCGGTCGGGCGGGCGGGCGGGCGCGGAGGGGGAAGGCGAGGGCGATACGCACCTTGAAGTCGTAACGGTTTAGTGCGTGCGATGTCCGTCGCGCGGCGCGGTTGAGATCTGCCCGCGCGACGTCGCGTCGTCGAACGACACCTGCGAAAACAGAACCTCGAAGTCAGACGGTCGGACGTGCCCGTGACGCGCGTTTTTGACCGAAGGCCCGGGTCAGCGTGCTTGCGGTAGTCGATCGTCGATTTTTTTCAAAGGGACCTTGCGATCAAGGAAAATAAACTTAATATTTCTCAGATTTCCTTGACCGGCCAAGGAAACCATTCAAGGCTCGGCTCGGCTAGCTCAGTGGTAGAGCGCAAGGCTTTTATTTAACGTTAGGGCCGATCGCGGTCGTTATCGGCCCATCCAACAAATTCACCTTGTGGTCGGCGGTTCGATCCCGTCGTCGAGCATCTTTTCATTTTTTTCCTTCTCTCCACGCCATCATCCTCCACGCCATCATTCTCCTCCCTCTCCAACGCACCTCTCCAAAAAGTTTCAGGTCGATCGGAGCAGTTTGGATGGTCACGGGGTGGTGGTTTTCGCGTGAGTTGCCCATTTTGGGACTTTTCAGGAAAAAAAAATCCTCCTGTCGCGCATCTTTTCATATTTTTCAATATTTTTCAACGCCATCATCCTCCCTCTTCTCCAACGCACCTCTCCACAAATTTTCAGGTCGATCGGAGCAGATTTAATGGTCATGGGGTGGTGGTTTGAGTCGCATGCATGGTGGTGCCCACATTTTGGAACGAAGTTTGGAAAAAAAAATCCATCGAGGGCCGTTGATCGGAGGAAAGGTTTTTTTGAAAGGCAGGCGGGTCTACTAAGACTCGTCGGTGAAATAATTACAGTCAACTAAAAACAACAACTCGTCCCGGCAGCGGCACAACGCATGGCGCGGCCCTGCGGGGAAGAAGAGGGACGCGCCGCCGCGTCCTCCTCCTCCTCCTCCGACGACGAGCAGGGGGACTCCACGCGGCCCGCGTTCGGCACGACCGCGCACGTCCCCTGGTGGGGGTTACCATCGGCATGTTCATCGTCAGGAGGATCGCGCTCTTCTCATTACGCCCCGGTCCACCGCATCGGAGGTGGCGCCTTCGGCGAGGTCCACGCGGGATGCCATCTCCCCACCGGCGCCGCGGTCGCGCTCAAGCGCGTCGTCGTCCATGGAGGAGTTGTTTGTAGAACAGGTGGTGGTCTTTCCGACGACGATTTCGCTGGTTCAAAAGACGCCGCCGCGACTCGCAAGGGAGGACTCAGGCTCCTCCCGGACAACGTCCTCCGCGAGCTCAAGACGATGCAGCACGTCTCGTCGTCAGGATCCGAGTCCTCGCGTGATGGTGAGAACAACGTCGTCAGGCTGCTCGATCACTTCGCGTCCGGGCGCGCGGTCACGCTCGTCATGGAGCTGTGCCCGGGCGGGGACCTGGGGGCGATCCTCCTCCCGCACGACCACGAAGACCACGACGACGACGACGACCAATACCGCCGCCGCCCAGGAGGAGCGTCGCGGTCTCTTGACCTCCGCCGCCGCCGCTCGCCGCTCTCCGTCGCGTGCGTGAAGAGCGTCGCGCGGCAGATCCTCCTCGCGTTGGACGCGTGCCACTCCAGACGCGTGATGCACCGCGACGTCAAGCCGGGGAACCTGCTGATCGGCGCCGACGGACGCGTGAAGCTCGCGGACTTCGGACTCGCCAGGTTTATGGAGGAGGACTCGGACGAAGACTCGAACGACGACGAGTCGGACGCCGCCGCCGCGGCTGATTCTTCTTCAAAATCTTCTTCCCCTTCTTCTTCTCGTCGAAAACACCGAGGCGCTGCTCCTCTGTACACGCACACGATACAGACGCGGTGGTACCGCGCGCCGGAGATTTTGTACGGCGCGCGTCGGTACGACGCCGGCGTGGACGTCTGGTCCGCGGGGGCCATCCTCGGCGAGCTCCTCGGCACGCGGGTCGGGCCTATGCTTCCCGGGGACAGCGACGTCGACCAGCTCGTGCGGACGTTGACGCTGTTGGGGACGCCCACGGAGGATCGATGGCCCGGCGCGTTCGAGCTCCCGGACTACGGGAAGATCGCGGTGAAGCCGCGCGAGCCGGCGCCGAGGGAGGACGCGGTCGGCGGCACCGTCGACGACGGCGCCGGCGTCGCGTTGGCGTTTCGGTTGCTGTCGTTGGATCCGAAGCGTCGACCGAGCGCGGGGGAGGCGCTGAAGGACGCGTACTTCGTCGAGGGGAATGAACCGGAGATGTCGCCGACGGACGCGATCGCGGAGTTGCGGCGAACGTGCGGCGACGGTTTGGAGCCGTGGTGGGTGGCAGGAGGGGCGTCGTCGGAGACGTCGAACTTCAAGACGAGAGGAGGATCCAAAAAAAAAAAATCGACGACGCCGGACCCGGAGGACCTTCGCGCGGCGCTCGCGCGCCTCGGCCTCGACGCGGAGCTCGAGGAATTAGATAATAGGTGTACGCGTACCCCGTAGGGCTACTTCCGATACGTGATGATGGATAGATAGATCGTCTAGCTAGCAGTAGTAGTTCACTCATCAATCACTATGTCGTCGTCGTCGCGCCGTACGTGGTGCTCCTCCTCGGCCCCGGCGGCGGCTTTTTACTCGTACTCCCTACTCCGGGTCCGGGCGGCGAATGTATTCCGCCTCCCGTCTTCTTCTTCCACCCCTTCTCCTCCCCCCCATCCTCCTCCCCCCCATCCGCCTCCTCCTCCTCCTCCTCCGGATTATTATTCTCCATCCACGCGCTAACGAACGCGCTAAACTCCGGCGGATCCTCGCCCCGGCCGCGCGCGTAGGACGCCTCCGCCTCCCACGCCATCCTCGCGCGTCCGAACCGTTCCATCCGCCGGGCGTGCGCCCTCGCCCCCTCGCCGTACCTCGGCCAGCAGCGCCCGCCGCACCCGGCGAAGCACGCGACCCACAGCGTCATGTGAACCGCGAAGTACGCGATCCCGAGCGCGAGCGCGAGCGCGCCGGCGACGACGGCGGCGATGAGCAGGAAAAACTTGAGGATCGGTCCGACGCATCGGTGGTTCAGCCCTCGGACGAGCCACGGCGGGAGGTGCTTCCAGTTCGCGCCACCCTTGCTCTCCCACTGCGCGTACGTCTCCGCGCCCGCGTCGTCGACGTCGACCTGCGACGCGTACAAGTCGTACGCCGCTCTCCGCGTCGAGTCGCTCAGGGTGGAGTGCGCGCTCGCGGCCACGCCCATGGCGTCCGACGCGGACGGGTGCGAGCACTTGTCGGGGTGTATGACGCGCGCGAGCTTGTAGTACGCTCGCTTGACGTCCGCGTTCGAGCGGTCGGCGGCGTCCAACTTGTCGAGGCGCAGGACCTTGTAGTAGTTGTTCTGACACTCTGTCGAGGAGGGGATGGAGGCGGAGGAGGCGTCAGCGCGACGAGCGACGTCCGTCGTCGCGTCGGTATTTCTTTCGACGAGGCGACCTTTCGATCGATCGAGGTGACTGATGATGTTCGATGATGATGAGGCACGCGCGGGCGCGGACGCGCACCTAACACGCGCTTGATCTCATCCTCCGCGGAGATCCCGGCCTCGATGTCGGAGGCGTCCGACGCCGCGGACGACATGGAGCCCCACATCGCGGCGGCGGGAGCGGACGCGGACGAACGCTCCCCGGGGACTGACCTGACCCTCCCTGAACCCTCGAACGAGCGGCTGTCTCGAAATAAAATCCCCGCCACGCGCGCTTTTTCTTGGAAGCTGACGAGGCGCGCCCGTGCGCGGCGTCAAATATATTTCATTCGTCCCCGCGCGACACACGCACGCACGATGAACGCGGCGGCGGAGGGAGAACACGTTTTCGGCACCGCGATGACCACGGATGAAAACGCGCTGCTAGGCGCGGACGCGAGAGGCGCGGAGAATAGCGACGAGGGCGAGGAGCAGAAGCTCCAGGTGTGCAGCGCGCGAGCGAAGAGGGCGTCGTCCCGAGATTCTTCGGGCGCGGGGGGGAATAAGTTGTACTGGTACTGGGCGAGGCACTCGAACGCGTGGCGGTTCAACGCCAACCACGCCGCGGCGCGCGCGTCGTGACGACCGACGGCGGATTGTAATTTATTAATAATTCGACTTCAGCTGTACACGTTAAAGTCGTCCGTCGTGTGATCGCTACTGCCCGCGTCGACGGCGCCTGTACGCGCGCGTCGTCGTCAATAAATCGCGTCGTCGGGGTCCTTCTCTCCTCGTCGCGTCGCCGCGCTATTTTCTCCGGCGTCAGCGCTTATACTGCCCCGTCCCCCTGAGCCGCTGCGATAAGTACGAGTTCTCCTCGTGGAGCCGTCGCATCTCCGCCTGCTTCACGCGCTCCTTCTCCGCGGCGACCGCGCGTCTCGCGGCGAGCGTCTCAGGCCCCAACCCTTTCTCGTCCCTCCCGTGCGCGTTGCTCAGTCGAGCGCCGAAATCGAGATTTTCCTCGTGCAGCTTCGCCATCGCGGCGTTGTGCTCCGCCTCGTGTTGCTCCGCGATCGCTCTCCGCGCCGCGAGCGTCGCCTCGCTCAGCGCTTTCTCGTCCCTGCCGTGCTCGCTCGCTTCCGCGATGCGACGCTTCATCTCCGCGTTCTCCGCGCGCATCTTCGCGGCTTTCGCCTCCGCGTCTCGCAGACGCCGACGCTCGACGGCTTGACGCATGTGCTCCGTCTCCTCGCTCAGCGCTTTCGCGTCTCTGCCCTTGGACCCGGCTTCCGCGAGGCGCCGTTTCATCTCCTGGTTCTCTTCCATCATCCGCGCCGCGGCGAGGTGTTTCTCCATGAGACGGCGCTCCTCCACCGCGGCGCGCAACGCTTCCGTTTCCTCGCCGAGCGCCTTGGCGTCACGACCGGACGCGTTCGCGAGCTTCTGCCGCATCGCCGCGTTCTCTTCCGCGATCTTCGCCTGCGCGAGGGACTTTTCGATTTTGACGCGCTCCGCGACCGCGCGCCGCGCGGCGTTCGTCTCCTCCGAGAGCGACTTCACGTCTCGCCCGTGTTGCTGCGACAGACGCGCGCGGATCTGGCCGTTTTCGTGCTGCATGCGCAACTCCGCCGCCTCTTTCTGCGCGGCGCTTCGCTCCGCGACAGCCTGCCTCGCGGCGAGAATCTCCGGCGAGAGACCTTTCTCGTCCCTCCCGACCTGCGCCTGCAGGCGCCGACGGAACGTCGCGTTCTCCTCGGCCATCTTCTGTTCCTGGTAGCTCTTCCTCGCCGCGCTTCGCTCCGCGACGGCGCGTCGAGCGGCTTCCACCTCGGGCGTGAGCGCCTTCGCGTCCCTCCCGTGCGAGCCCGCCATCGCGATGCGCTGCGCCTTCTCCGCGTTCTCCACGGCGAGCCTGTGCGCCTCCGCCGCTTTCTCCGCGCGCGACCGCGCGGCGACGGCGCTCCGCGCTGCTTCCATCTCCGGCGTCAGCGACTTGGCGTCTCGCCCTCGAGAGTTCGCCATCGCGATGCGCTGCGCCTTCTCCGCGTTCTCCTCCGCGAGGCGCCGCGCCTCCGCTTCTTTTTGCGCGCGCGACCGCGCCGCGACCGCGGCTCTTCCCGCCTCCATCTCCGGCGTGAGCGCCTTCGCGTCCCGCCCGCGCGCCCTCGCCTCGGCGATCCTTCGCGCCTTCTCCGCGTTTTCCATCGCCAGACGATGCGCCTCCGCGTCCTTCATCGCCTGCGACCGCGCCGCGACCGCGGCTCTTCCCGCCTCCATCTCCGGCGTGAGCGCTTTCGCGTCCCGCCCGTGCGACCGCGCCATCTCGATCCGCCGGCGACGCTCCGCGTTCTCCTCCGCGAGACGCCTCGCTTCGGCGTTTTTCTTCGCGCGCGACTGCGCCGCCACCGCCGCCCTGCCGGCTTCCATCTCCGGCGTCAGCGCCTTCGCGTCCCGCCCGCGCGAGTTCGCCATCTCGATGCGTCGCCGACGCTCCATGTTCTCCTCCCCGAGGCGCCGCGCCTCGGCGTCTTTCTGCGCGCGCGACCGCGCCGCCACCGCGGCTCTCGCGGCGTTCGTCCGCGGCGAGAGCTGCTTGACGTCCTTGCCTTTGATCGGGGACACGGTGTACTTCCGCTTCGACGAGTGATCGAGCGCTTGGTTATAGAACATCTGCGCGCGCGCGAGGCGAGGGCGCGGCGGGGGGAGGGGGGGCGGGGGTAACGCGTCAGCGCGGGGCGGGCGGGCGGGCGGCGGGGATGATTCATTTTTGGATTCTTCTCCCGAGTTGGTCCAGTTGGCGCCGCGGGGAAAGAGAATGGGCTCTCCGCACCTTGAATTCTTCGAAGTCGATGACGCCGTCCTCGTCCCTGCCGAGCTCGTGCATGAGCTTCTTGACGAGATACCTGTCCGCGTCGTTCGCGACGCCGACGACGCGGAGTTCCTTCAGGAGTTCCTGGATCTCGTGCTGTTGGGAGGGACGAGAGCGGGAGGGCGTTAAATTGGCGGATAATGCGAAGAGACCATTTGGCCGCGAACGGCGGGTTCGGATTATTGAATTACGTCCGATTCGTCCGACGTGGACCCGTCCCTCACGGAGACGCTCGCCGCGCGCGTCGACCCAAACGCGGCGACGCCGGGTCGCGGGCGCGTGGGCACGCCGCTCGAGCCGTCGAAAGCGCGCCAGGACGCGCGCGTACCACGTCGATAGTGCCGGTGCCGTCCACGTCGTAGAGCCTGAATTTCGCATAAATCATCCGCTCGCGCTCCGACGCCTCGTCCATCATGCTCTGGATGTCCATGGCGACGGGCGGACGTCCGGCCGCGGTCGCGGAGACGCGCGCGCGCGCGCGGGCTCAAAAGAGGCGAGGTCGCGCGCTCGCGGCGTCCTCGGCCGTGCGCGTGAGGTCCTTCGCGCGCGCGACGGGACTCTGGTCGGGGAGGGTGCTTTGGTGACTTTTGCGGACAGGTGTCGCGGTCGCGGTCGGTCGGTCGGTTTGTGTCCCTTCGACTTTCTCTCGAGCCACGACGCTTTTCCTCGCGCGCGCCCACGCCGCCGCACGCTCAGATCCAAGCCATGCGGACGCGTTCGAGCTCCGGGTTCAACGGCATCCCCGAGAACGTCGCGGCCGTCGTGTTCTCGCACCTCGGGGACGACCCGCGAGACCGCGTCGCGCTCGCCCAGGTGAGCAAGGTGTGGAGGGACGCGGAAAAGTCTGACGCGTCGTTGCCTGGGGGCTCTCTGCGCGCGTTGTTCAAGCGCGGTGAACGGCTTTACAACTGTGGACCGCGTGCGCATGCGATCATCTGGTGGCGTTTGGGTGCTGATCGTGGAGACGTCGGCGCCATGTACGTGATAGCACATTGCTACCATGGCATGCAGTTTATCGGGGGCTTATCGAGCGACTACAACGGCGTGAAGCAAGACCACACGAAGGCTTTCGAGTTGTGGGAAAGAGCGTCAGAGCGTGGGCACGCCGACGCGACCCACTGCCTCGCTACGAGCTACGAGCTCGGCCTCGGCGTGAAGGTAAATGAAACGAAGGGTATGGAGCTGCACGTCAAGGCGGTGGAGCTGGGTTCAAAAGATGCCGCATACTATCTCGGGAACGTCTACCTCAGGAACGTCCGCCCACCCACCGGCGTGGCACTGAACAAAAAAGAGGCGCTGAAGTGGTTCCGCGTCGCGGTGGAGCTCGGCTGCAATAGGTCCGTATATTGGATGACCGGACTCGAGGCCGAGCTCGCGGCGACGCAGACGAACACGCAAAATTTCGAAAGTTTCGACGAGGACGAGAGCATGACCGAGAGCTTGAGCTAACGCGAGAACTACACGACCTGCTAGACTAACGATACGATCACCTACCTCCACGCCCCCGGGTTAGACGTCCCTTTTCTGTACTTTTGCTTCAGTCGTCGCGTCGTCCTTTGCGTCGAGCGACGCGTCACTTCTCCTTCTTCCGCTTCTTCTCTTTCTTCTCCTCCGCGTCCCCGCCCCGGTCGCGCTTCTCCTTCTTCTCTTTCTTCTCCTTCTTCTCCTTCTTCTCCTTCTTCTCTTTCTTCTCTCTCTTCTCTTTCTTCTCTCTCTTCTCCTCGACGGGCGCCTCCTTCTCCTCCTCCTCCGCCTCGCCGCCGCCGCCGCCGCCGCCCTTCCCCGCGCCGTCGTCCCCACCCTCGACCGGCAACGGCTTCCCGTCCAACCCCAACCCTTGCTTCGCGAGCGCGCCTCTCGCCTTACTCCTGTGCCTCTTCCCCGCGGCGTGCCCCAGCAACGTCTCCTGGGACGTGCACTTCACGCGGCAGCACGCGCAATCCCACGGCGGTTTCGTCGCGAGAAAGGACTCGCCGACGACGCCGCCGCCGTTCCCGCCGCCGCCCGCGCCGCCGCCGCCGCCGCCGCCGCTCGCCGCCGCGGAGGCGTGCATCAAGTGTTCCTGCCCGGGTTTCGTGATCGAGAGCGCGTACTTCTCGTGCTCGGTCACGCACGACGTGTGTTGCTGCACGCTCCATCTATCGAAGACTTGGAGGCAATCGACGCACGAGAATCGCGACGCGCTGCATCCCGACGCGTGGCCTTTGACCTTTGGCTTCTTCAGCGTGTCGCCGCAGTCCTCGCACTGGAACCACGGCATCGCTCGCGTATCGCGCGCGGGCGAAGTCGCGCGGCGGCGCGCGTGGAGAGTGCGCGCGCGTCGCGCCGCGAGTATCGGTTTTCACGATCACGTTTGGCGGCGCCGACGGACGGGAATTTTTCTCGGCACCACGCCACGCCGCGCCGCGGCGCTCCCGAGACCGCATTCTCCCGCGCGCGAGAGGAGCCTCGCCTCGCGCACGCCCGCGCGCGGCGCCGCGCCTCCGCGAGATGAGTCGCAAGGCTGCGGAGCGACGCAACGCATCCGCCGACGCGTTCGTGGAAGCGCGCGTCTGGGCCATCACGCGCGGGCGGCCCTACAAGCCGCGATTCAACGCCGAGCGCGCGGTCGTCGTCATCGTCGGCGGCGAAGGCGGCGGCGACGCGCGCGGCGGCGGCGCCGGCGGCGGCGACGACGACGCGCCCGCGATCGAGCTCGCGCCGGGGCGCACGACGCTGGGCGCGCCGCGCCCGCCGCGCCCGGCGGCGCCGTCGTCGCCGTTCGACGGCGTCGTCGCCGCGTCGCGATGCGCGACGGAGCTGTTCGCTCGCACCGCGACCGAGACGCTGTTCGTCCTCGACTACGCCCCACTCAAGCACGAGCTCGCGAACGAGCTGTCGTCCGCGCACCCGGGACGCGTCGCGAAGCCCATCAACCGCGTCCTGCAGAAGCTCAACGTGAGCGACGCGGTCGTCGCCGCGGACGGGATAGACGCGGCTGTGATGTTCAAGCTCGTCGCTGGCGCGACGGCTGGGGAGCGCGGCGGCGGCGGCGGCGGCGGCGGCGGCGGCGCCGTCGTCCGCTTGTGCGTCGCGCGGCATCCGCACAGGATCCCGAACGGCGCGGTCCGCGACGAGCTGTCCGCGACGGACGTGGACGTCGTGTGCGCGCGGGGGAAGGCGGAAGACGCGAGGAACGCGTTGGGGGGGGCGCTGCCGCGCGGGAACTTCGTCGAGGAGCGATTCATCCACGACGGAGATGGAGACGGCGGCGGCGGCGGCGGAAGCGGAAGCGGCGCCGCCGCGCCGTTGGCGACGCTCCTCGCGGACGCCGTGCGCGCGATTGAGCGCGAGGACGGCATCGAAGGCGCCCCGGACTGGCTCGCCGACGGCGCGCCGGTTTTCTACTCACGCGTCGCGTTCGAGCACGACCGCGCGTCGAAGCAGATTGAACAGAAGGCAGAGTCGGTCACGGAGGCGGCGGAGGCGGCGATATTGGCCGCGGCGGCGGAGGCGGCGAAGGCGGCGCGCGACGCCGTCGAGGCGCCCGCGTCGCCGGAGACGCCGACCGGCGAGCGGACGATCGCGACGACGCCGCCGTCGCCGGAGACGACGAGCGGACGACGGGACGACGACGACGACGGCGACGACGACGACGACGACGACGACGAGCCGCCTCCGGTGATTTACGTCGCGAAGAGACCGTTCCACCCCGGGCGGTTCGCCGCGTGTCTTCGCGCGCACTTCGAGCTAGAGACCGCCGCCGACGCTTGCGGCGGCGTTGGGAAGAAGGGGATCGACGCGAGCGCGTTGGTCGAGTCCGCGGCGGCGGCGGCGGCGGCGGCGCGAGCGGCGGAGTCGGTCTCGTCGCGGTGGCGAATCGACGACGCGAGCGCGGCGACGACCGCCGCCGTCGCGGTCGCGACGAGCGCGACGGCGGCCGCGGCCGCCGCTTCCGCCGCCGCCGTCGCCGCCGCGGAGATTCTCTCGCGGCTCCTCCTCGCGTCCGGAGAAGGCCCGTCAACGTCGTCGCCGTCGCCGTCGCCGTCGACGTCCGAACCGACCGTCCCCGCCGGCCCTTTCCGCGGCGTGAAGACCTCCGCGGGCGCGGTTTGGCTCTCGAACCGCCCGTTCGTTCGCGGCACGTGGTCCACGCCGGACGCGGCGTCGCCCGGGCGCGTGCTCGTGACGTGCGTCGGCGACTGGGACGCGCCGTCGTCGTCGGCGCCCGGCGGCGGGGCGAAGACGACGACGACGACGACGACGGCCGCCGCCGCCGCCGCGCCGGACGGGGGCTTCTCCGCGGCGTACCCGGGGGACCGGCGGCAGGAGATCGTCTTCGAGGGCGATCGCGAGATGAACCCGGACGCGATCCGCGCGGCGCTGGACGCGTGCGTGCTCACCCCAGAGGAGGAGTCGGCGTCGGCGTCGGCGTCCGCGTCGGCGTCGGCGACCGGCGGCGGGCTGTGCTTCGCGCCGTGGCCGGAACAGACGGAGCACCTGGCGTCGTTGGGCGTGGTCGTCAGAGGCGTCCGCGGGTCCGCGGCGATGGCGACCGCGGCGATGGCGCGGCACGGCTGGGGCGGGCTCGGGCCTTCGGTCGTCGCGAAAGACGCGGCGGTTGAAGCGGCGGAGGGTCGAAGCGCGAATGAAACGCCCGCGGCGACGACGTTGAGACCGAAGCCGTTTGGGACGTCGAACCTGGGCTTCGGCGGGAAAGTCGGGATCGTCCGCCCGGACGCATTCGTCGCGCCGCCGCGAGGGGTCGACGTGAAGCAGTTCCCCGAGGGTACCGGGCACTACTGGCCGAAGATGCCGTGCTTAGAGTGCGGCTCGCCGTGGTGGCTCGGCGACGACTGGGACGCCGAGTGCGCGAACTGCGGCGAAGGCGCGGAGTCGTACGACAACTCGCAAAATCCGCACAAGGAGTACAAGCGCCGGTTCGAACGGTTCCGGAAGCTCGTCGACGAGCTCAAGAGGGCGTAGTCGTAGCATCGTAGTAGACACAGTGCGTGCGTCGTGTGACCGTCGTTCGTTCGTCCGAATCGAATCTCGCTCGCGTTTCGTTACAAGTACATCGTCCCTAGCGTCGTTTACGCGTCCCTAGTCCTATGGACTCGTCTAAGTTTTGAAGGAAAGTAGTTTCTAAAAACCCTCCCGTCCGGATCGGCTCAGTTCGCCGCCGTCGGGTACCCCTGCACGACGTTCCTCCCTCCGTTGAGGTACACCGCCGCGGGCACGACGTGGGGCTGGATCGTCTTCGCGAGCTCCTCCCCGGTGCCGTGAAACATCGCCGCGTACAGCGCGCGTTGTCTCAACTCCCGCGCCTTTCGCGGGTCGTACGTCGCCGCGAGCGGGGCCACGAGCGCGAACCCGTTCGCGCTCGCCGTCGCGCGCTGCGGCGTCGCGTGCATCGCCGCCGCCGCGGACGCGACCGCGATCGCAGCCTTCGTCGCGCGCTTCTTCGCGGAGCCGCCCGGGGACCCGCCGCCGACGCCGCCGCCGCCGCCATCCCCGCCGCCGGCGCTCATCGTCGGCGACGCCGCGCTCCCGCGCTTCCGCTTCCCGAAGATGGAGTGCAAAATTTTATTCTTCGCCTGCCGGTCCGCGACTTCGAGCGCCGCCGCCACCGCGGGGTGGACCGCGCCGCCGGTTCGATCCCCGCCGTTTCCGCCGCCGCCCTGCCCCCCCGGCGGCGCTCGAAGTCCTCCGTACGCGTACACGCCCTCCGCGCCGCCCGCGACGCCCACGTTTGCGTCCCATCCGGGGTGCGTCGGCGCCGCGAGCTGCGCGATCATCTGCGCGACGTGCGTCGCCTCTCTTCGCAACGCGTCGAGGAGCTCCTCCTCGTCGACGGCGGGCGGGAACGACGCCGTCAGCCGCGACCGCCCGCCGGGCGTCGACATCGACGTTTCCCTCGCCGCGTTCGCCACCGTGACGCGCGCGTTGACGACGTCGATCTGGTAGCGGTACTGCTGATGCACTTCCCGCAGGCGCGTCAGCGTCTGCGCGCGCCGCGACGGGTCCATCCCGCCGAGCGCGAACGGGTACGCGGGCGCGGGCGGCGCGAGCGACGGCGACGGATCCACCATCCCGGGCGGCGGCATCCCCATCCCCATCCCCATTCCCATTCCCATCCCCATCCCCATCGAGATGCCGGCGTGCATCGCAGCGGCGGCGACGTGCGGCGGCGGCGCGGCGACGCCGCCCGCCGCGGCGGCCTGTGCGGCGGCGCGCGCCGCCGTCGCCGCCGCCGCGGCGCGCTGCGCGCGTTTCGTCAGCTTGCCGCTCTTCGTGAACGCGACGGACGCGTCTACGATGGCGCCATCCGCGCCGACGCCCGTGGGCGCGCCCGCGCGCGCCTTCTTCGCAACCAGGTCGTTGACGTTCATCGACGTCCGTCGCGAAGAATTCTTCGCTTTCTTCCCCGGCGACGCCGCCGCCCCGACCCCGCTCGCCGCCGCCGCGGAAGCGTCGCCGCCCCGTTCGCGTCCTGCGTGGGTGAAGCGATCGGTCAGTCGAACGTCTCACCGGTCAAACGTTGAAAGGGAAGCGCGGGTGAAGAGTGACGACGGGAAAAGTCCTTAAGGAACGGCGTTCACCACGCGAACGGGGTCGTATGGGAAGCAGTCTCACCTTCCCCAGAAACCGCCGCGAACACCCCGCCGAGCGCGGCGGCGACGCCGCTCGTCCCCAACGCCTCCCTCGCGACGACGCACGCGTCCCTCCTGTGCGCCGCCAACGCCTCCGCGAGCAGCACGCGGCCGCATCCCTGGCACGCGGCGAGACCCGTCCCCAACGGACGGTGGATCCCCTCGTCGACGTCGAGTCGACGCGACGCGCTCGCGGCGGCGCGTTCGCGGGCGTCGTCGCCGGCGGCGTCTCGGAAGGTCTCCTCCGACGCCGCGGACGTGCGCTCGAGCTCCGCGCGCGCCTCGTCGGAGGTCTGCCACGGATCGCGGAGCGCGGCGACGAGGTGCGTCCACGTGTCTTGGAACTCGAAGTGTTCCGGCTCCACGTTCGGGGTCCTGCGAGAGGGGTTGTTGGGGCGGGCGAGGCGGCGGGCGGCGGTCGGGACGTTAGTTTCGCGTCGGTTGGTTTCGAAGCCGCGACGGGCTGGGAGGCTCCGAGTAGGGCGAATCTAGGGATGCGGGCGACGAGGGCGCCCTCGCGGGTCGTTCGAGCGCGCGAGGCGGCGCGCGCGGACGCGAGAGATCCTGGCACGAGAACGCAGCGTGATCGTGCGTTTCATAACCCGCGCGGGCGGCGGTCGACGCCGCGGGCGGAGCGGAGGAAATCGCGCGCGCGCGTCCGCGTCGCCTCGTCCTGATATGTCGCGCGCGCACCTGTCGTAGTCGTCCGCCTCGAAGATGGGCGCGACGTCGTTCGCGAGCGTCTCCGCTCGGCACGATCGCAGCGTCTCCGGCAGCGTCGCGATCAGCGTCGTGAGCTCCGCCCTGAGCGCGTGGATCGCCCCCGCGGCGGCCATCGCTCGCGGCGGGTGGAGTCGCCCGCGCGCGCGGACGAACTGGAGAGCGGCGAGATTTCGCGGCCGTCGAGAAACTGGCACCAGCCTGGCTCTCCTGACAGGTCTCGGGTCCGCCGCTATCCGCGCCGTCGTCACTGCGTCGCGCGCCTCCGGTCGTCCGCGCACGCACGCGCGATGTCGTGCATCGCCGCGCACGTTCCGTCGATCGCTACGACGCGTCGCGCGGCCGTCGCCGGCGCGAACGCGCGCGGCGCGGTCGCGTGCGCGCGACCTTCCGCGCGCGTCGCGGCGGCGGCAGATTCGTCGTCGTCGGCGTCGACGTCGACGTCCGCGTCGACGTCGGCGCCCGTCGCGTCGCCGAGCGCGTCCGCGCGCGTCGCCGGCGTCGCCGTCGCCGCGGCCGCCGCGCTCGCGATGACGCTCTCCCCGACGCGCGCGGCGATGGCCGCCGCGGAGGACGCCGCGGGCGCGTTCGCGGCGGACGGCGAGACCGCCGCTGTCGTCGTCTCCGAGTCTTCTCCTCCCGAGTCCGCGTCCGCGTCCGCGTCGTCGTCCTCGTCCGCGGAGGAGGACGAGCCCGAGATCGTGGAGATTTCGTACGAGGACGTCGCCGTCGGCGCCGCCCCGGACATCGCCGCCGCGAAGGCGAAGATCCAGGACCGCGAAGAGAAGGGCCTGACCGAGTTGGAACAGAAGGCGATCGATAACAACCTGAAGATCAAGCAGTACAACAACGCGCCGGTGGACTTCCCGACGTTCGTGCGCGAGGGGTACGACGTCCGCGTCATCACGCCTCCGGGGTTCGTGACACAAGAGGACGGCTTAGTGTACAAGGACTTTCAGCTCGGCACCGGTGAGCTGCCGAAGGATGGGCAGGAGGTGACGTTCGATTACATCGCCTACAACGAAAACGGCGGGACGATCGACTCGACCTATCGAAAAAACGCGCCGGCGAGCACGCGCCTCGGGATCAACGGCATGATTCCCGGGTTCGAGGAGGGGTTGAAAGGGATGCGCGAGGGTGGGAAGCGAAGGGTCGTGGTTCCCCCGGAGTTGGGGCCCCCGGTCGGGCCCGCGACGTTCTTCAGCAGCAAGCAGTGGGAGGTGTTCGACATCGAGCTGATTAAGATAAAAAACTGCGAACGCGTGCAAACCGGATTTATGGTGAGCAGCGTCGTGTGCAAGTGAGACGAGTCAGCGACTCCTTTAAGGTTATCAACACGATCAAAACAATTAAACGATTCGCGCAGTTCAAGTCAGTCAGCGCTTCTTCAGCCCGAGTGCGCGCTTGAACCCCCAGCCTCGCTTCTTCTCCGCGCCCGCGCCGGCGCCCGCGGCGTCGCCCGCGCCCGCCGCGCGTTTTCCCGTCTGCTTTCGAGCCACCTCCCACGGCACGAACTCGAACCCGGCGTTCTCGTCGTTCGGCGCCGGACCCGCGCGCGGCGCGTTGGCGCCGGTGTTGACGTCACCGTCGCCGTGGCCGTGCGCGTCGTCCCCAAAGTCGTCGAACCGCTCGAGCTTCTTCAGCATCGCCCGGGTCTCCTTGAGGCGGTCCTTGAAATCTTTTTTCCAATTCTCGAACCGCGCGCCGAGAGACTTGAGCTCGAAATCCGGATCGAGGTCCGCGTCCGAGACGCCTTCTTTGACTTCGACGATGAAGTCCGCGTCGTCCTCGAACACGCGCGTGCGCGTGTCGAACTCTTTCTGTAACACCCCGACGTGCTCCGCGCCCGCCTTCGCGACGGGGTCGGCGCGACGACGCGTCGCGGCGGCGTTTCCGCCGCTCCCGCCGCTCCCGCCGCTCCCGCCGCTCCCGCTCCCGCTCCCGCCGCCGCCGCCGCCGCCGTCTTCGAATCGCGGCGGCGTCCCGGGCGACGGCGCGGCGTCTCCGCGCGCGGCCGCCGCGGCGACCGCCGCCGTGAGCAGCGGCGACGGCGGCTCGCCGCCGTCCAACGCGCCGCGGACGGCGCACAGCGCGGACTGCAGCGCGGCCATCTCCTCGCTCCACTCGCTCTCCGCGGCGAACAGACGGTCGCGGTACTCGCCCGCGACGCGCGTCTGCGCGCGCAGCTCGCTCTTCAGGCGCTCGTTCTCTTCGAGCAACGATCGCTCGTTCGCCTTCGAGGTCGCGGTCGCGGCCGCGGCCGCGGCCTCGACCGCGGCGCGGACGTCTTCCTCGGTCGCGAGCCCGGCGACGCGCGCTTCGGCTTCGAGCCGCGCGGTCTCCGCGTCCGCCGCGGCTTTCGCCGCGGCGACGCGCGCGCGTTCTTCCTCCGCCGCCGCGCGCCGCGCCTCCGCCTCCGCGGCGGCGGCTTCTTTCTTCTCCCTGATCGCCTCCGCCTCCGCTCGCGCGGCGGCGGCAGCCTCCGCGGCGGCCGCCGCCGCGGCCTCGCGCTCCGCGATCGCCATGGACGCCCTCGCGGCGTCGAGCGCGCGCCATTTCGCGCGAAGCGTCCAACGCCGGACAGCCATCTGCACCGTCACGATCGCGGCGCGTTCAGCCGCGCACGCGCGTCGCGCCGCGCGCCCTCGCGTCATCGCCTGTATGACCATCGCGGCGCGGTGCTCGCGTAACGCTCGAGCGTAACGCACGCGCGCGGCGTTCCCTCGCGCGCGCGCTTGCGTTCGCGTGATGGACGCTTTCGCGTGAAGAAACGCTGCGCGCGCGACGCAGCCGCGACGCGCGCTCTGCATGATCACGACGGACGACAGCTTCCGCGCGCGTTGGTCCTCCATCATTCCAATCTGCCCCGCGCGCAGGAACAGCTTCGTCTTACCGAACTGGTACGACGCATCCTTCACGTCAAAGTGTTGGAGAATCGCGTGGCAGAAAGGCACGATGTCGGTCGCGGCGTCGCCAAACGGCGCCCTCGCCGCGCTCGGGAGGAGAAACCCAAACCGTTCCGCGAAGTCGCGCTGCGCGTACCGCGTCGGGTAGCCTTGCCGCGCGATGCGAACAACGTCTAAGACGCCGCAGCACCGCAGCTGATTCAGCACGAGCGCGTCGTCGAATCGCGACGGCGCGAGCGCGCTGTTCGGCTTCACGCACCGGATGAAGTGCGGCGCGCACGCGTCGAGTTTCGCGACGAGCGCGGAGAGCTGCGTCTTGAACCGAGCGCCGACGGATTCTTTCCCCGCGCCGCCTTTCGCCCTCGCCGCGCGTAACCCCCCCGCGCGGTCCGTTTCCGCCGCCTTCGCGCTCGTCATCAGCTCCGCGAGCGTGCACACGAAATCCTCGCTCGATGCCATCAGCGCGGACATCAGGTCCGGGTGAATCGCGTCGCGGTTTTTATCGAGGAACCCGTCCACGTCGTAGGACACTTCGCCGGCGTAGTGCGACACCTTGAACACGCGCTCGTTCCTCTTGTCTCTCGCGTACTTCGCGTCGGAGCTCAGCTCCGTGGCCATCTTTTGCGCGAACGTGTCGTCCGTCGCTTTCGGGAACGCGCACTGCTCGTCCAGGAGGCTCAAGATGCCCATCGGTCGGCGCTCGATGACGTCGACGCACGCCTGATTGTCCTCAAAGTCAACCTTCGTCCAGTCGATGCCCTCGCGCTCGTACTCCTCCTGCTCGAGCTTAAACATGTGCTTGTTGAACTGCTGCTGCAAGCGCTCGTTCGCGTAGTTGATGCACAGCTGCTCGAACGAGTTCTTCTGGAAGTACTCGAAGCCGTAGATGTCGAGAATGGACACGCTCGTCGCCGCCGCGCGCCCGCCGCCTCTATCGCCGCCGCTCGAACCCAACGCCTCGTTGACGCTCGCGACGATGGAATCAAACAGCGCGGCGAAGATCGCCTTCGCGAGCGCGTCGCGCCCTTCGCACGCGCTCGCGGCGTTCAAGACGCTCACGATGCTCTCCCCGCCGGCGTGGATCTTGCGCGTCGTCAGCGCGCGCTCGAGAAGGTTCGCGTCGACGCCCAAGAGCTTCGCCGCCGTCGCGAGCGCGGGCGCGCCCGCGGCGGTCACCGCGGCGGCGGCGGCGCCGTCCGCGCGGGTCGCGTCCTCGTCGAAGTGGACGTTCCCGAGCCACAGGACCGCGGCGACGGTCTTGAAGATCTCAGAGATCTCGTCCTCGCTCGCACCAACCTCCGCGAGCGCTCTCTTCGTCTCGAGGTACGCCTTCGCGTCGTCCACGCCAGCGACGGCGACGACGGATGAGCTCGAGAGGTAAGAAAAAAACCCGGGCGCCTCCGGGACCCCCCACGCCTCGCGCTCCGCCGCGCTCGCGCCCGCGCAGAGCTGATAAAACACGTGGTACCCGCGCTCGCCCTCAGCCTGGTGCGTCACCCTCGACTTCTCGAGCAGGTATGTCCGCACGCTCGCGCCTTTAATCTTCCCGGCGCCGTCGAACGCGATGTCGATCAGCTTCCCGAAACGCGACGAGTTGTCGTTCCTCAGCGTCTTCGCGTTCCCGAACGCCTCCAAGATTGGGTTCGTCTGTAACACCCTCCGCTCGATCCCGCCGCCGTCGCCTCCCCCGACGCTCGCGAGGTACCTCATCGCGATCTTCGTCGTCTCCGTCTTCCCCGCGCCGGACTCGCCGCTGACGACGACGGCTTGGTTTTTTTTCGACGCCATCATGTCGCGATACGCCGCCGCCGCCGTCGCGTACACGTGCGGCGGCGTCGCCGCCGCGCCGCTCGCGCCGCTCGCGCCGTGTCCGTGCGCTCGCATGACGTCCGGGCCGTATAACGTCCCGTGCAGCCTTTTGAACGGGTTCACCGCGATGAGCACCGGACCCGCTCGCGTGTACACGTCGTCGGACGCGTACCGGAGACGCAAGTCGTGAAGAATCGACGGCTCGTTCAGGTACGACAGCTTCGTGAGGTCGTCCGCGGCTTCGAGGATGGGAGGGTTCGCGGGGAAGAGATCGCGCGCGGGGACGACGAGGGTGGACCCGCTGGACGTCTTGACCGTCGTTCGGCGCTTCGTCGGCGTCGACGCGAGCGTCGTCACGGTCGCTTCTTCGTACATCGTCGTCGCGGTCGAGGACGAGGATGAGGTCGAGGAGGAGGTCGACGCGTCTGTCGTCGCGACCCAGACCTTGGAGTTGCGGCCGAGGCCTTCCATGGCGTCGTCGCCGTACGCGCCTCCGGAAGCCTGCGCGGTCGAGGGTGGGTGGGGAACGAATCGATAGAGGGACGAGAGCGCGGTGAGCGATGCGCGCGACGGGCGCGATGGATGGGATGGCGTCGCGCCGCGCCGCGTCCGTGTCCGTCGTCGTCTCGTCGCGTCGTCGTTTCGTGCGAACGAGATCGAACGACGCCGGGGGAGGGGGACGTGGTGGACGCGCGCGGGGGACGCGCCATGACAGCGCGGGCGACGGCGGGCGTTCCAAACGCTTCGTGATACGCTCTCCGCGCGCGTGCTCTGCGGTGGGGACGGCGGTATCGACGACGTCAGCGACGGGGGAGGGCGTCGAGCGCGCGACGGGGGAAACAAGCGTTTCGTCGAAACGAACGAGCGAACGGCGCGGACGCGAAAGCGATGCGCGAGACGGGACGGGACGCGCGCGGACGCGTCGACGCGGGGGCCGCGCCCGCCCGCCGCGCGTATCGCGACGCACCGTGAAGGTCAAACGTCCGCGGCGAGATCGCCGAAGCGCGCGCGCGCGTCGTCGCGTGAGTGCGCGCCGGTCTTCTGATGATGAGACTCGACGACGGAGACTCTCAGGGCCGTTCCATACAAAAACAGTCCTCCGGTCAGTCGAAAGGGGACGCGATCAAATGTTGAAACCGAGCGATGGGTGAAAAACTTTTGTATAGAACGCACCTCAAGCATGTGCGGTCGGTCGAACTCTCACCGCAACGAGCTCGGCGAAGAGCGCTTCGTGACCAGAGAGATCTCGCGCGCGTCGGGCGTCGCGATGGGCCTCCTCGGGCTGGACTACGGCTCCGGGAGCGATGACTCGGACGACGACGCGAACGACGGGACGCGCGAGCGGATAGTCCTCGCGGAACCCGAGCCGACGGCGGCGACGGCGGCGGTGGCGGATGAGGAGGAGGAGGAGGAGGAGGAGGAGGAGGAGGCGCCCCTGGATTTTTCGTCCATCCTGCCGCCGCCGCGACTCGCGGAGTCCTCGCGCGGCGTCATCGCGGGCCTGCCGAACCCGACCGCGAAGAAGACGGGAAAGAAGAAGAAAGTCATCGCGTTCAAGCCGCCGGTGAAGACCTCCGCGCTGACCTCCGGCGCGGACTCGGACTCGGAAGAGGAAGCGAAGCGCGCGGAGAAACGACGGAAGACGCGCGCCGCGGGGCGAGGGGGCGGAGGCATCGCGTCGTTCCTTCCCAAGCCGAAGAACATGGACGTCCTCGGCGGCGGCGGCGGCGGCCTCGGCGGCGGCCTCGGCGGCGGCGGCGGCACCGCGCTCGACCTCGGCGGCGGGGACGGGCGCGGGGGGGGCGGGATCGAAGCCGCCGCCGCCGCCGCAGAGGAGGAGGCGCCGGCGATTCACCCGTCTCAGCTCTACGCCGTGGACGAGAGCGGGCGGTACCTCCACGCGTCGCATCACGCCGCGGCGTACGCCAGCGGCGTCGCGGGGCCCGCCCGCGGCGGAATCGAGGAGCGCGCGAGGGCGATCGGCGGGATGGGCGCGGGCGGCGCGGGCGGGTTCTCCGTCGACGCCGCGCTCGACGACGCGCTCGAGATCGAACGGCGACGCGCGGAGGCGTCCGGCCGCGGCGGTCCCGGCGTGACGGTGAAAACCGTGGACTTGGACACGGTGCGGTCAAACTCGCGGCATCTCCTGGACGATAAGACGAGCGCGACGGGGCTCGCGTTCGACGACGCGTACAGAGAGAAGCTTCAGAAGGAGGCGGGCGCGAAGCCGTCGTTCGTGCACAAGTCGAAGAATCAGATCGGGTCGCTGCTGTACAACGCGAAGCAGAACGAGGGGGATCCTCAGAGTCGAC